CTGGCGGACACCAAAGAACAAGCCTCAAACTCTTTGAATTTGCTGAGAACCTCACTCTTCTCCTTCAGAAGATAAACTGATGTCATCCTTGACTTGTCATCAATGAATGTGACAAAGTACTTTGCCCCACCATGACTTGGTGTCTTCATGGGCCCACACACATCACTGTGAACCACCCACAGCAGTAGAGCCGCTCTAGCTGCTTCTCACTTTGGAAAAGGGCGCCTGGTGATCGTCCCAATGGCACAGGCTTCACATGGTGATGTTTCTGTGGGATTCTTGACCTCCAGACCACTTCCCAGCTGGTTCCTAGCCAAGATTTTGATGCTGTTGATGTTCAGGTGTCCAAACCTGTCATGCCAGAGGTCCAAACTCATTCCAGAGGCTATGTTTGCATGTTCTCTTGCATGAAACTTGTATAGACCGCCACCTAGAGTTCCCTGGATTGCTTCCTGGCCATCTGAAGTCTTAATACAGCATCCCTTGCTGCCAAACTCAACTTTGGCACTGTTTTCAGTGGCTCTTCTTACTGAAAACAAGTTGTTTTCAAGCTTGGGAACAAACCACACGTCTCTGAGGGTACAGAATCGGTTTCTGCCTGTCTCAAGTGTGATCTGGCCCTTCCCTATTGCCTGAACTGTTCTGTTGTCTGCCAGATGGACTTGCATTGGTGACATCTCCATGTAATTGGTCATCCAATCCTTCCTGTGTGACATGTGCTGTGAAGCACCCGAGTCCACAATCCACCAGACTGCTCCCTGAGAGGTTTTGGTGTCATCTCCTGAATGAGCAAAGAATAGGAACTCATTCTGAGTTGCCTGACTGGTGCTGGCCTGATTGGCTTGTTCTTTGGTGTCTGCCAGAAACTTCCTGCAGTCCTTCTTGAAGTGACCCTTCTTGTTGCAGTAGAAGCACTTCCCTGCTGTCTTCTTGGTCCCACCATGCATGCCAACCTTCTGCCCGCCATCCCTGCTGAAAAAGGCCTTCCCCTTGCTATCTCCTTCACCCCCAGCTTCCTTCCTGCATGTTTCTTCATGCAAAAGCCATGATGTGAGGAATTCCAGTGTCAGAGAATCACTCCTGGCCTCCAAAGACACCACCAGCTGTTCATAACTCTCTGGTAGGCTGTAGAGTAGGGTGATGACTTGGTCTTCTTCACTGACTGGTGCCCCAATGTCCTCCAACTGCTGAGCCATTCTCCTGACCATGTTTATGTGTCCCAACATGCCCCCAGTGCCATCTTCCATCTTCAGAGTGAGAAATTTCCTCCTTAGATAGAGCCTGCTGGCAATTCCCTTCCTTTGGTGGACGTCACTGAGCTTTAACCAGGCCTCTTTTGCAGTTACAGCAGTCTGTACATGCATGAGTTGGGCATCACTCAGTGACAGAGCAATTACAGCCATTGCCCGCTCATCCCTTCTCCTCCAATCCTTCTCAGAGGTTCCCTCCATGCTCTCATCCCCCTCAATCACACCCCACAGCCCCTTTTCCTTCAGCAACATCGTCATTTTGAACTTCCAGAGATGGTAGTTCACGCCATTGAACTTTTCCAATGTGAGTTTGGTGTCCAAGTCCGTGTTTGACATGTCTGAGCTGATTGGATGAGTGGATTTGCTGTTGGGGAAGAGGTGAAATCGTCCTGGTGTGGTAGGTGGTCCAAATATGAGGTTGGGAAGAGGATAGGTCCGCCAGGAAGATGGTGTGGCCGTCAGAAAAGAGATTTGAAGCAGGAAAATATCAGTGATAGCAATCAGGGCTCATAACCTATTGAAACTTAGTGCTTGGAACACTGATTTCCCGTGTAGAAATCACTTCTGAAAGGCCTAGTAATGCCTGTGGCCGCTAGTAAGACTTCTGGGTGCAGTAAATTGTGGGATAACACGCTTGTATTAATCCAGAGACGTTGAAAAGTCCCCTTTATATAACCCAGTACATTCTCCAGCCTCCCTCCACCTTTGTTTACTGTTTACATGCTTCAGCCCACTTGTTTACATGCTCAGCCGTGCTCAGCAATGCTCAGCAGCTTCAGCCATGCCTTGGCAAACATTACCTGAAGATCTAGATCATCACAAACCTTCCAGACCTTCTAAGAGCGCTTACATGATGATTTACCCCTTTAAATCATTCCCACACGCGTCTGTGATCATTCTGATTACTCTAAGTCCAATTCCCCACGTTGTAACTTAGCCACATCAGATGTGAACTGTCTAATGGCATCCCAGCATGATCTCACATGATTTATAGATCATATAGCGTGGTTTAAGCCTGAATCTCAACACAGGAGCCCCACTGCAGCACTCAGCAACCAATCAACACCATTTCAAGAGTTTACAGGCGGTAAACCAGATCTCCAGCACCTCAGAGTGTTTGGCTGCGTGGCCTACACTCATATTCCAAAGGAAAAGCGGTCAAAACTTGATGAGAAGGCCAAGAAGGCAGTCATGGTCGGCTACAGCACTCAGAGTAAGGCCTACAGACTGTGGGTACCTGAAATGAACCAAGTTGTCATGTCAAGGGATGTCATCTTTGATGAAAACTTGATGTGGAGCACTCAGCAGCGACTGCAGAGTGTACCACAGCAAGACCAAGAGCTACAGATGCCTCTGGGAGGGGAGCCTTCGTTCCTGGACGACCAAGAAGGGCTAGGGACGGTTCAAGAGACTCAGAGACCATCTAGCATCACTCCAGACAACTCTTCAGCATCAGAAGATGATGGGGACGACTTCCAGGATGCTGAGGAAGTGCCAGAACTCAGCACTAGTTTGGAACCACATCTAACCAGTATAACCATAGCACTGACAGAAGACTTCTGTCACACTAGTGGTCACATGACTTTGCTGATGGTGTCAGCATTCATTTGACCAGAATTAGATAAATAAGCAGATTTAGCCATTTCTGGCTAAATTAGATGAGTATCCTGACACACTGGCATCTGCCCCTTTCAATCAAGTGGCACAGTGTATTTAGGATGACTTGTCTCACTTGTGATTGGCTATAAATGGTGCAATAGGCTGACAAATAGTTTAGGATGATATGTACAAGATCTGATTGGTTGCAAATGGTGCAATAGGCTGACAAATAGTTTAGGATGATGTGGGTGAGATCTGATTGGGTAGTTAGGATATAGCATTTGTCAGCCCCTTTGTATATAAAAAGAGGACCTCTCTGAGGCCCCTCAAAGGAATAACAAGAGTAACGAAGTCTTCCCTAGTTTTCTGTTGTCTTCTTGTCCCTGCTAGCCTGTTACAACTAGTTTGGAACCACATCTAACCAGTATAACCATAGCACTGACAGAAGAATTCTGTCACATTTCCATTGTGAGTTTGGTATCCAAGTTCATGTTTGACATGTTTGAGCTGATTTGGTGAATGGATTTGCCATTGGGGAAGAGGTGAAATTGTCCTGGTGTGGTAGATGGTCCAAATATGAGGCTGGGAAGAGGATAGGTCCATCAGCTAGATGGTGCAGCCATCAGGAAAGAGATTTGAAGCAGGAAAATGTCAGTGATAGCTATCAGGGCTCATAACCTATTGAACTTAGTGCTTGGAACACTGATTTCCCATGTAGAAATCACTTCTGAAGGGCCTAGAAATGCCTGTGGCCGGTAGTAAGGCTTCTGGGTGCAGTAACTTGTAGCATAACACACTTGTATTAATCCAGAGATGTTCAAAAGCTGCCTGTATATAACCCAGTACATTCTCCAGCCTCCCTCCGCCTTTGTTTACTGTTTACATGCTTCAGCCCACTTGTTTACATGCTCAGCCATGCTCAGCAATGCTCAGCAGCTTCCGCCATGCCTTGGCAAACATTACCTGAAGATCTAGATCATCACAAACCTTCCAGACCTTCTAAGAGTGCTTACATGATGATTTACCCCTTTAAATCATTCCCACATGTGTCTGTGATCATTCTGATTACTCTAAGTCCATTTTCCCACGTTGTAACTTAGCCAAATCAGATGTGAATTGTCTGATGACATTTCAGCATGATCTCACATGATTTATAGATCACACAGCATGGTTTAAGCCTGAATCTCAACATCAACCACTGGCTTCTTTGTCAAGTTTGGTGGCAGTACAGTCAGCTGGCAAAGCAAGAAGCAATCCACAGTCACTCTATCATCAACAGAGTCAGAGTACATGGCTCTTTATCAAGCTACCAAGGAAGTTATCTGGTTCAGAATACTTCTAGGAGAGCTGGGACATCAGCAAAGCAGTCCAACAACATTATATGGTGGCAAGCAGGGTGCCATAGCACTTGCCAACAACCCAACACATCATGCAAGGACCAAATATATTGATGTGTGGCACCACTTCATCAGGCAAGCAGTATGGCATTCCTAGGCCTCTCAGAAGTGATTTCTACATGGGAAATCAGTGTTCCAAATGTTAAGTTCAATAGGCAGAGGTCCAAACTCATTCCAGAGGCTCTGTTTGCATGTTTTCTTGCAAGAAACATGTATAATCTGCCACCTAGAGCTCCCTGGATTGCTTCTGGACTGTCTGAAGTCTTGATGCAGCATCCTTGTTGCCAAATTCCACTTTGGCACCATTCTCAGTGGCTCTTCTCACTGAAAACAAGTTCTTCTTGAGCTTGGGAACAAATGACACATCTTTGAGGATACAGACCTATATTTAGCCACAGAGAATTTTCAATGGATGAAATCTAGATTCATTTTTTTTTTGGATGGGCTACACTCACAGCAGGGATATTACGAGACCCTGGGCCACTTGCTTGAATACGTTTGCTACTATAATCTGAACTCGGACATGCATGCTTGTGGACTCCTCGGTCGGCAAGACTACTTTTGACTTTCTGGCTGCCCGTGGTGAGACTCTCGTCAGATCAGTATGTCAACCGTCGTGTGAAGATGTGGTTCAGGTCGGAATCTGTAAAGGTTGTTACTGCAGATGTCATCCATGATTTTTGGCTCAAGCTAGAAGGGAAGGGAGAGAGAGAGAGCCAGCGAACGGGAGGAAGCGAATAGTAGCTAGGAATGATGCACCCGCAAGAAAAACATGGTACTTTCCAATACAATTGAACAAAACAAAACTGAAAAAAGAGAAACAAAGCATTTTCATCATCTCCATCCCGACCCTCCAACATCTGCAGGTCCACCCTCAACAGTATAATGCATCTTCCTATTGTCTTCATTTCATACTAGGACGCTGAGACGGTGAGCTGGTACCCCCGCCAGACATCACGGTCCGTGCGATCATTTCCCGGTTCTTTTTAATACCGCCCGCGCTGTCAGCACGCAAAAAACGCAGATGTCAAAAGGGAAAGAACAGAAAGGGCATGTCAACAGGACACGAGATAACGTACAAAGCTTTAACCATCGTGCCAAATGTTGCCTGAATCCTTCTGACTTCGGAAATGTGACTGTCGATTTCAAGGATCCGACCTTGTTCCAAGGCTGCGAAATCTGTAAGAAAAAAACGGCAACATTAGAAAATGGTTCCTACAGCATGGGTTGTGAACGTCATCATAAATACTCTGTTCCTTTTACTTACCCAATTTGGTCAACAACTGCATCGCATTGCCCAACCTGGACAAAGGCATCGTAACAGCCACGAAAAGTGCGGAAACAACAATGACGATTCCTACACCGAGACCGATGGAGAGTGCCATGGCGCGTTTGGCGGCCTTGTCGATTTTTCCGAAAATCTAGCGATGTCGAAAGAAAGATTTATTGATGAGGATGTATGTAGGGAAAGAGATGCAAGGAAGGAGTTTGACGGATACTTACATATTCCCGAGGAGTTGCAGAGATGAGTACCATAATATCGTCTGGATAATTGGTGAATTGAATTTTGGTGACCAAAATCATCTAAGAGTGAAATGCATTTCAGCGTTTTAGTTTTTGTTTTCAAATAATGGCTACGGACGGAAAAACTTACCCAATCCCTCTTCGCATCAATCTGGTCCATATAGGTTTCGATCCGCAGCGGGACATTCGCAATGCTTGCATATTTATCCTTCACGAACGTAACCAACAGCGGAGAAAACGTCTCGTTGGAGAAATCGACAGCTCCTACACCTTTCCACGCACCCACGCGAGAACTGCTGGCTACCAGGTTTAGCTTGTCGTCAAGTACCGCGATGACTGCGATGTACAGAGAAAGTGAGATGAGAAGAGCGTTTGGTTTTAAAAAAGGGAACAAATAGGTGGCGACTATATAGCTCATACCTGTCTCATCGGTGATTTTCTGTTGTTCCAAAATGGCACTCCACGTGGATGACAGTCCCAAAGTAGCCGCACATCCGTAATATGTACCGGTGTAGCTGCTGAGGTAAATCTTGGCCATACTGATCGCCATATACCCCGTCTTATCGGTTGTGACTTAGAGAAATGAAAAAAGAAACATCCATAAGTTTTGAGCCCAATTGGAGGGTAAGAAATGCCCTCCTTCTCGAACGTTGACTCACTAGACATAAAATTATCGGTGGGAACTGTCCCGTTGGGAGGTTTGAGGATATTTCTGATAACTTTACTCCAACTGACGTCGTAAGCAAAGGGTGCGGGGTCAGCTGTATTCAGTGGACCGATGATCTCGTATGCTAAATAGAATCGGTAGCGAAGAAATTGGTGAACAGTCCTGGTATTGGTAACAAAAGAACGGATGGGGACTCAACTGGTTTGATTCAAGGCATACTGTTGTGCCTTGGGAGCCAACGTGTCGTCCGTCAACCCTATCACAACATCCTTGTATGGCGGGATAGGAGTTCGGGAGGGTAAAAGGAAGACCCAGGAGATTGTAGTACTGTTGATGGGGTCCTCGGGTCTACCCCACACACAATTATTCGATTAGGAGCTGTGACAAAAAGTCCTTTTCGTGTGGTGTGCAGACAACGTTTGTTACTTACCCATAACCACTGAGCCATTTGGGCGAATAGCATGTCCAACTGTCTGTAATGTAAAACAAAGAGCATGTGCTTTAGCGTTTTGATTATGGGTTGTGTTTTTTGCAGAGTACTGCGGCTTACCTGTTCCTCCTGTTTTTTGTACGGTCGCCAAAAACTTTATCAATTCTTTTTGATTAACAAGGTTATTGTAAATATTGGCGCGATCTAAAATTTCCAACAAATTAATTCAACCCACGATTATTTTTCATTTGCAACCAGTTTATAGTTGGTTTGTAACTTACCCACGGTAATTGGTTTTGCAATCTGATCCGCGGCTCCGACTATGTTCACCCCCCTCTTCAACGGCTCCAGACTACTTCTGATTCCCAATTCCGTACTCTTCATCATGGTGACCAAAAGATTGTCCGAAAGCTCTTTGGTGTTCGTGTTTCCTGTGGTAATGAGGGAGTAACACACCTATGTGCGTTGCGCGTGTAAAAAATATACACACTCCACAAAACATATGGTAATGCGGCGCAAACGTACCGGAACGAGCAAAACAGCCAGCATCCCAATCAACAACGATGGAGCCAACAACAAAAGAGGCATATGCAAACGACGTATGAATCCGAGAAAGCCGGAATTTGTGGCATGGGTTTGACGAGCTTCATTCGCCAAATCGCTGATTTTGTCCTTGCCTTCTTCCAGCTCGCTGGTTTCAGACACGCGACTTTCGCGGCGGCTTGACATCTTTGCAAGGTGTTTTTCGGATTGGTGATGAGAACAATGATTCCAATCTCAACAGACGTTTGCGAAATGAGGTGAAGAGACTGCAGTGAAAAATCGGAGCCTTTGGAAACGAACATATCATGTAAGCACAATAGAATTCGTCGAGAACAATCATGGAACACAGCTATTGGTTATTACATGTACCGACGCTAAAATGGGTGTAATTAGCTAATCCAAAAGCTTCGGTCATGCTCGGCACCAGGTTACTGGTATCTTGCATAACTTTATTATTTAAGCATTGTTCTTTTGCGTTTGTTGATTTCATTGTAAAATTGATTTCATTGTTGAAAGTCAAAAACCCTATATTAAAATTGGGGTTGCCGAGGCTGACAGGTACACGTGGGCGTCATGTGCTTTCCAGGTCACGCCGAGTTATTCTACTGTATTATAAGATATCTCCGGCAAAACTGTACTCGACAGATGGAAAGCGAGTCCAGCCAGCTGTGGCTTTGGCTTATGCCATGGCAGAATAGGATGACTGTGCGCGCACAAGAATCTCACACTTCCGTCGTCTCACTTCCATTTCGACCATGCTCACCTCCATTACCCTCGTCCGATGACCCTCCTGTCCCTGGTCACTTCCCTCCTCGCCATCTGGTCATTCATTTACTTTCTCCTCTCCTTTTGCGGTCGCTCCCAACGTCGCTCACGTCGTAGAACGTCCTTCCTGCCAACCTACTCGACACCGCCATCTCGAGTTCACAATTCAGAGTTCCACTACCAATTCGGTTTCTTTCGATATACGACAACTGTCCTTAATCAGGCGGTATTTCGAATAGGCAGAGAATGGAATGGGTTATGGAAGTGGTGGTTCGGAAGGGAGATGATGGCTGGTACCTGATGGACGACTGCCTCTGTGGGAGTTTTGATATATTACGGTTACGACATACTCCGCAATATCATGATAGGCCAGATGGTAGGAAGTGACGAGGTGCAGGACTTTCGAAGCAAGGTGGATTGGATTTATTCCACCGGCGGTCTGGCGAATCATATGGGAAACACGCAAGGACTGGTCGCCCTTATGCCTGGTGTAAATCTACCGTTGAGCGATATGGGATACTATGTTTCGGGTATCCTGGTTTGTGCGCTGGTGCATGAGGTGGGACATGCAATTGCCGACGTTGGCTGTGCCAATTCAGGAGACGGGGATATTTTTGTAGGTTTTCGTACCTGACGCGTTTCTAACTCTTCGCGAGGCGAGTTTGGGTTTGTTAAGGCCTGCTGAGAAGTTGAAGATCGTTTGTGCGGGAGTGTGGCACAATGTGGTGCTGGTCGGTATGGTGTTCTGTATGTTGTGGGGATTGTCGTGGGTGTTCCTGAGGTACCGGAGGAGCGAAGGGGTTGTTGTGTTGGATGTTCTGGACGAGTCGCCGTTGGCTGGGCACTTGGTCGTGGGCGAGACGGTGAGATGGGTCAACGCAAATTAATCAAAGGCAATCGAGAATGGGAGAATGTCATTTGGGACGAGGCTACGAAATTGGGGACGGCCAGCGGATGGTGCGTTGACGATAACAATTGGAATTTGGCCCAATCTGAAGGAATCCTGGATTGCTGCGACGTAACGCCCACAAACCCTCTTCCGCGGTCTTCAATTACGACCCAATGCACCCGATACGGAAACATGATCATGTCTCCCCCTTTACACAATCCTTTAAACCTCTCCAATCTGCACCTCGGAAGCACTCTGCTCGACAAACACAACCTGTCTCGATCCTTACATACCTCACCCACAAATCTGCATCCTCCAACTTCGCACTCTCTCAGACCGAAACATCACATAAATCGTCTCACCACTTGAACTGTACGAAGCACTCCTGCTTGGGTCGATCATACCCTCATACAGCATGCTTCCGCTTTCGCTCCCGTATATGATAGAAAGATTCCTGCCGTTCACACTATCGATCACGCTCGCGCTTGCAGTACTCAATATGGTTCCTGCGTATGGGTTGGCTGGATATCATCTCATTGTGGCAATTGAGGAGTGGAGGCCAGCAACCTTAGCATCTCCCTAGTCTATCATCTTGATGAACTAGAGGTACGGCTTTCCGGTTGGCTTAGTTGTTATGTAGAATCGGTGTCGTTCCGTGGCGATGGCCAGGTCGACATCGTGGTTGGCTAGCTAGCTGCTCATGGTTCCGGTGCTCGTACTGGCGTTGGTACCGATAATTTCCTCCTCTTTCTCCGTATTTGGCACTTTCTGTACAGTTTATCGCATAGCTGTGGGTCGTTGCCAATACCATATTTCAATGGGGATGGGTTTGTTCCGGAGGCATGTGAAGGTTTTTCAATAAATCCCCATGTTGTTTCCTCATCGAGGAGACTGGTGATCAGTTGATGTGGCCCTGGGTTTCCCTTCTCCAATGCAGAGGTTGAGTGGATGCCGAGTGGAATGAGCGCTGTGAGATGTGTAAATTGGGCAACTGTTGCTCCCAACATGTTATAAACAACAAGGATAGAATAATGTACTTTAGAGGGTGTTATTTGTAGTGTTTGTCACGTTATGACCCTATCTATGGTAGAGGATCTGCATGTTGTGGTAGCTTGCCTCAGACAGTCGTCTCGTAGATGGGAGGGTTACCTTCCAACGGCAGCTTCTGCTGCTACAGTCCATCCTTCAATAACCTTAAAAATGATTCTCGGACTTCGACCCGCCTTTCCGTAAGGATTCGAAGTTGTCGAGTACCCTTTCCTTTCGCACAGACGCGGAGCAGTCTCCAACTGCGGGCCAAACGCGTGAAGGCTTCCCTCCTGATATCCTCTAGCCGCAGATACAGCACGCCAAGGCCCACCAAAGTCAGGTAGACCCAAATCGCAGATGCCCATCCATTCACACCGAAGCGCTTCCGACAAAAATAATACCAGGCCGCATAGGTCGAAGGTACCACAGCATGAGCGGCAAAAATTTGTACTTGTGCTTTCGACTCTTCAAAGGTTTCTCGACTAGACAGAAGGCCAACTACAAGCAAAGAAGGAAGGTGTACCATAAAAGCTGCAGAAACTGAAATTAATGTTTTGTGGATAATGTAGAAAAGCGAAACGACGTCCACTCACATGGGAAGATTGCAACCATGGCAAGCGCAGACACGAATAAATGATACAAGCATTCGCACACTAGCGAGGGAACGTGCGGAGTTGCCATTGTTTCAACATCCTCATCCGTTACCTGTAGCATCTTGAGGTGTTCAGAATACGATTTCAACTTTGCGTGAGCGGTCGTCGCAATCGGATCGCTGCCATCCAACAACTTTAAGATGCTGAAAGGTGGTTGAGTCTGAGTTGCACAACGGTCGACGTCGACGGATAGCAGCTGTCAGTGTCTTGATTCTCATTAATGCTCACCTATTTATGACCTTCACATCTCGTGTCGCCGCTTCCCTTCCTAACACAATAGATCGTGCTTTAGAAGCTAGTTCAAGGGTATGCCTATGGAATACAGATGTCAGGATTCGCTCGTCACAGATGTACCGAGAGCTGTAATTTACCAGCTTGGAGCATTGATTGTTACAGACTCCAGAGACGTTTGAAGTTTCGCTGTGAGTTTCTTGACAGCCGCACGGGGTTCTTCCTTGAATTCAGCCACAAATGACGCTACATCCACGGGTTGGCCGTACCTAAGGTATGGGATTAGCTTGCATTCCGACTCATAGAGTTCCGTCCACCAACCTCACGTGTACAAATGTCCGCCAGTGGTGCTTATTCGGCTCGTACGTTATGCCAACTGGCACCACCGGCGCAACGGCGGTCGTTTCGTTGATCGCGGCAGCAAACTGAAGAGCCGCCCAAGCTGCACCGTCTTTGAGCTCAGTCAAATGCGAAGTATGATGGCTTGTTCCTACGACGAGAAAGTCGGCCGTTCATCACCATATCATGATTTGGAAGCTGTGGAGGAATGAGATCCAGAATACCTTCCGGAAAAATGGCAATGACTCCGCCCCTGGTAAAATCAATTGATTTTTAACGCAAATATGTGACTAGCGCTCGGGGTTTAGGGGCATACTTCAGCAGTGTCTCAATTGTAGCTTCGAACAAGTCTTCATTAGACTCTTTTTTCCCGGACCGGGAGTTGCGGTTAACCGGAAGGCATCCCATGGCCTGCATAAATCGCTTTACCCCGGGAGGTCCCATAAACAGTTCAGCTTTCGTCCAAAAGTGAACCTTTCAGTATGCGGGACAAGATTTATGCAGAATAAAAAGTTGTAAGATTCTACCAAGCGCTAAGAAATCCGTGCGCAAAATAGGTACCTTTCGTGGACAGCTCTGAATGAGTGCACCGATATCTGTGCAAGTCGATAAAGTCAATTCTTAGACCAAACAGTAGGTCGACATTGGGCGAAAAACGCACCAACAGCCATATTCCAGTGATTACTACAGCAGTACGTTACGCGCAAGTCGATATTGGAACAGAAGGACTTCCTGGTTAACACATGTACATCTTCAAGGTATCGGCTTCACTTACGCCGCACTGTAACACACGGAACCAAGGGTCAATAGACGCTGAGACGGCCGGTTTGTAACTAGAAGATGACTAGAATTGGCCCGTGGCATAATACTCACACAATACAGCCTCGGTCAGTAGGAAGGTTCTCGAGGCCCGTGACGAAGGTCTCACGATAATAGGTGGACATTGCAAAGTCTACCCATTTCGATATAACCCAATATACCCAATTTGCCTTGTGTTTCCCAGCCAGAAGTGTGCGGTCTCCAAGTTCACGCTTCTGTACTGGAGTTTCCATTGCAGACATTTGGCAGTGGAAACCTGAGGATCTCTCCAAGCGCGACAGTGACGTTCGCATCCAGCGTGTGATCATCCGGAGGGGGCCGTAATCAATTTTGGGGGGTCGGCTTACTCTATTTGTGTTCATGTGGCTTTGCACCCATATTCCAGTCTTTCTTCACGAGTTGAACGATAAACTTACGCAAAGGCCCAATATCGAACGGCCCAAAGCCAAACATATCAGCATCTGAAGGCAGTCAATGGAATGTTGGAGATCATAGAAGTATCCGTCAGCTATGGTTTTCGTTTAACATGGCTGTAAACTGCTTTGTGCGGCGGCTGTCACACTCTGAGCTTGGCAAAGCACAAGTACTTTCTACCTCCGGTGTTATCGCGACAAAAGCGTGCCTTTTGGCAAGTCAAGTGCAAATGTTCGTAAAATGACCCCTCTACACATTGGTTTTTTATCACCACAGATACCTTCACGGTGCGACGTGACTTTTACAGTGGCCAACGTAATGAAGAGTCCCTTCATCATTAATCGGTTGATTTTCCAACAGGAAATGGCTAAGAGCCCAGCGCCGCCTCATGCCTCACTGATGGAGATGTTTGGGCTTTGTCGGCTTCCTACCGGCAGCAGCAAATCATGCAAACCCCATCTCTTATGTGAAGCGAACTGTTGACGTTCCTACAACATTAGACCTAAAGCAATCCCTGTATCAAAAAAGTCAGTCATTGAGAGAACTGCCATGGTCTGCACTATCTTTGGGAAGTGAAATGTGCCGTCCAGCCTGGTCTGATGTCAAGTTCAACAAAAGCAACTGTCGGGGTCATTTCCAGCGTGCATTTCCTTTTGTGACATTGTTGCTCCAACTTTCCCCAGACATCCGGGTAGACTGGTTGCATCCTTACTTTTAACAACCATCATCACTCACGTGATCAGCGCAGGCATTGCCATTTGGCGTCACGTGTTACGGTCATTGACTCAGCTCTTGACGAGAACCAGGTGGATCTGTAAACTTGGTCGCCATCGCCGTCATAAGTCCAGAACTCTTGTAAGGAATACCCCAACGACTGTTGGCGTGCAACATCTACAAGGCTTTACGACGATTTGGGGACTGATAGTGCGTGATAGACGGTGAGTCGCCAACACCATCTTCACTGCCAGGGGGGAGGGAACTTGCTCAGGTCACATGGCGATATTCTTAACGTTTCCATTGGTATGCTCCTGAAACGAAGATAAAAGCAGGGCGTCCCATATTTAAATCGACGAGCCTATCCCGAAATGCTCGTCTTAATCATCGGGGACTTCCACATCCCGCACCGAGCCATTGACTTGCCGTCCAAGTTCAAAAGATTACTCGTTCCCGGAAAAATTCAACAGATTATCTGCACAGGGAACCTGACCTCTCGAGAAACACTCGACTACCTTAGAACTGTCGCATCGGATATCCTCCTCGTTAAAGGAGACATGGACGAATCTCTAACACCAACTGCACCGCTGTCCCGAGTTGTGACGCATGGACCTTTGCGTATTGGGGTAGTACACGGCCATCAGGTGATTCCATGGGGCGATGCACGCACGTTGGGAATTATGGCTCGGGAGATGGATGTGGATATTCTGGTCAGTGGCCACACGCACCGATTTGAGGCATTTGAACATGAAGGGAGGTTTTTCGTCAATCCCGGCAGCGCGACGGGCGCATTTGAATGCGTCACGACGGGGCCAACACTTGCTGCTGCGGCGACGACCGGTGAGGGCGGCGCTGTAGGGGGGTCAATCAGTAATACCACGGCTGCTACCGGGGGGACAGAAACCACGGCCAGCTTCGTGCTGATGGATATACAAGGCGCTGCAGTCGTTATGTATGTTTACCAGCTTATCAATGGGGAGGTGCGGGTGGAGAAACTGGATTATACAAAAAGACTGTATGATTAAGACTACCATTGTTGTGATTTCTGATCCTGTGCATCTCCCATGCTCAGGCCATGCTTTTACACGTGTCTCGCAAAAGATATTTGTCAACAACCAGTCCGCCGTGGCTAGATCTCCTCGATCTAGATATTCAAACAACTATATCGTTTGTTGCTTGACTCGTAGTCAACCTGTGTTTGTAAGCTTCGTATAGGAACATACTGAGAACCCATCATCTAACGCACCGTACCAGTTCCTCTTGTCGCGCCCTTCGCAGAACCCTTCCCAGCGCCAAGGTATTGGTGGAGGTCGTGCATTTCCCTAAGGTCTGAATATCGGCAATTATCCCGTACGCCTGATGCTCACACGGTCTTTCGTCCGCCCGCCCATAATAGCATGTTTAAATTCCGCAATACGATATCTTGCAATATCTTCAGCCGGTAAAGAAATACCTTGCAGTACCACAACTAAGATGCCATGCATGGAATGGCTAGGCCATGCTGTACGAGCCGAAAGAGCCAGTATATTCACTTTCATATTCCAACCGGCGTAAATCGAAGCGGATCTTTGGCACCAGATAGGGCTATTTGCCTCAAGTCCTCATCAATTCGCATGAATAAGTCACTGCGATGTCTTTACTCCGAGGTAGCTCTGAACCCAGCGCTAACCCGCCGACATCAGAGTAGTGCTCGAGTATCCGATTAAATTTTGATACGCAATCAGCCTGCTATCACTGTTTGGGAAGGAACAAGCAGTCCAGTTATTGGTCTCGCATCACATGGATTTATACCAACGTTGACGAGTGTATGGTTGAAGGAGAACCAATAAGAAGTGCGACTAACCTGTGGAAGCCGGCTGATTTAGGTGGTGCTTACTACTGTTCCTGTCCCAGCAATGACTTCCTCAAAGTCCAGAGGTAGAGTCTCATGATCCGGAATATATGCCGTGCCTTCCACCCAGTGAACAAATGCAGTCATGTCCAGTGTGACCTACTAATAAGTATAGGACAAATTTATTCATTCATGTAGCTTGACCCATAAGACTGCATCTCTCCATAACATTTGCGCTTGTCGATTTTGCTGATATTGCCAATAGCAAAAATCCCCCACCACCGCCGCTCCTGTGGTTGTCACAGCCGTGCATACGAAACTCCCCCAGCATTGCTTCCAACCTGATGCGACTCATAAGGTGGACCTGACTCCTAATTCGCAGGCGAGCATCGTCCGGCAAGAAGCCACATAGGTGCGAATAGCCGCCGTGTCTCAATTTGGAATGATGACGCACAATGAAAGTTTTGAAAACTGTCCTTGTCGGATACCCATATTCCACTTCGGCATTTTGGCATTCTGAAAACCTTCCGGTTTATCAGAACCCAATCGTAGTGAGCCAATCCTTCATCAATATGAACGTAGTTCATATCCAAAATTGTGATGATGGTGCGATCCTCGAATCATATTCCTTGAGAATTATGATATACCGACGACAATCATGAAGGGTGTGTGACGACACAGGCCTTCCGAACTCTATTTTGCTAATCTCCAGCTTGGTGGACGCTTCCCTCACCCAAGGATTCAAACAAATGCATCCAAAGCACTGTCGTCTCAAGAGGCGTCACAAGTTCAGTTGTTATCAACAGAACCAGGTAAGTTGAGGAACATTATAATGGACTTGTACCGTCTTTTTAAAGCGCTCTTCTATTCATTTGTAGGTTAGCAGACGTCAGGTTCAATGACAACACGAAACTATTGGAATCTTGGTGGAAATATCGACATCGTTGACAGAGTTCAGTATTTACCGCCTTGTCTATCTACCCAATTCGAGGCTGCTCTTTTCCTTAAATGGTCTGCTCTGCCATTGTTGAAGACGATCAGCCAATTGGTAACAGGATTAGTGACCCTAACGGGGTTCATCCTATAGCTATCAAATGGGGCCATTCGTCAGTTCGCGGCTCGGACGGTCCCAGGTGGACGGTCAGTACAGTAACCCATAAGGTTCCGGCTTGTTATGTTCGAAACTGTCGATATCATATGTCCGATAGTCGAAGGAGCATTACTGCTATTTCTCTCCGGATTGTATTCGATAAGTCTGAAAAGCTTTCATATTCGGAAGCGTCCTGCTTCGGGAAACAAAACAATTGGGTTTTGTCCTTATGACACAATTCAGCCAAAATCAGCTCATCTTACGGTTGCCATCATGCACCACTCTGAGCATCTCGAGGGCTGCCTCCTGTGACAGTGGGGAGTGGATAAGACGGCAACGATCAGCATCCATGTTCCGCAACTCTGACTTCACTGGGTTAGGTTGGCAAGAGGTGCTGGATGATAATGTGCACAAAAGTAAAGCTCCGCAGCATGTTGAAACTTCTGATTTCACATCACCGGCATGGAGGATCATGAATCTGTTGACATGTGCAGAGAGACTTTGCACACCCACTCTGGAGGCATGGTCGCAAACAGAAATCATTACCCCGACTCTGGTTCACAGCCTTGCTTTCCCATACAAGGCATTGAGGTGACACGCAAAAGATCCGGTTGTCCCTGTGATTGATTCTTCCATCAAAACATAGACAGAGATGGGAGCACTCAAACATCTGCCAGCCTGGGTCTCCTACGGGTGGCCGGATATTCGAAAGCCAGCAGACAATCCATGTGACAGTTACTTTATCTGCCTTCCATGATCCATCAGGAAGTGCATCAAGTGCGATACGTAACGGAGATGGGAGCTGCTTTCGACGATCAGCACATGCCAACCTACATAGGTCATGCGACGCTCCGGAACGTGTTCTAGCAGTGAAGATACTAGACTTCATATTCCTTTCGTACCTCAGCCAGTGCCTTAAATGTGTGACTAAATAGTCCTCACCATCAACAGTGGGAGGATAATTTGTGCTGACTGTTTGTACGGTATGGCACGGCTATAAACAGGCCTGATTGCGTCCAGGCTCGCACACATGCGCATGAATCTTTCTGCAACGGCTATATGCGAGTTCTTCTTCCCGGAATATTGGTTCAATGGCGGAAGACTTGACATGAGGCGGTTCCTTAGTAAACGACAAATGTCTTAGTCAAGAAGCTACTTTGTTAGATCAGAGTTCAGATAAACCAAACTCTAGTAAAAACTTCCTTCTTCTCGTAGATGAGTCACAACGAATTCAAAGGCGAGCGTGTCTGTCGAGTGTATCGAAATCATCCGGACCAAACACACGATGCAGAAGACGAGGCTGCGCTCACCCCGCAGCATGAGATCCGCTGGCTTACCACCTTAACCCGACGGGACGTAATGACCGGAAGCACAAATGTGCCAAGTTTAGTATTTATCCAAGGGCATGCTGGATCAGATCTGATGTGTCAATGTCAGCAATAGCTGTCGCAAACCCGCAAAGTCATCAGAACCTTATCAGCAATATGAATATGAGGAGGGTCGGATATCAAGATTGCAGTGCCTCAGACAAGCGATCTAAAGATGTTTGCAAGAGTGGTCCACATAAGAGCTTCGCCAGGATGACTCAACCTGTGTTGGCAGAGTGAATGACGAGATGGTATTATAGATGCTAGATAAAAGACCGTCAATATGCTCATCTATCAGATACTGATCGATATCCATTTGCATCAGAAAAATAACAAAGTTATCGTCATGAAATGAGCAACTTGCTTCATTTCTGAATTCGGAAGTTCCCGTTGAAGCCACGTTTGCTTACGCAATCGGCCGTCGTGTATTTCCGAGAGGCTTCGGGAATTCCCGTTGAGACACGGTTGCTTATTCAATTTGTTCTTGATGTCTGTGATAACCCGCAGCGTCAACAACCGCCAGCCGTTCTTCACCTTTTTTTCTGCTTTGGCGTCCCCCATTACACATTGGCAGATTCATCGCTGTACTCTCCATTCTGCACCAGTATATACCCGTAGTAGATTCCCCCTTAAACTTACTCTCTCTCGCTCCACATACACTTTAACAGTGACAATGCCAGGAACACCAAAAGAAAAGGTTTGTCTTATCGGCTCGGGGAACTGGTGCGTTACCGCTGTTACTGAAGTGCAATACAATGTTTGGGCTGTCTTCTCACTTTTCTTTCCTTTACTTTGCTAGGGGGTCTGCAATAGCAAAGATTGTGGGCAGAAATGTTCTCCAGAACCATGAATACGATAACGAGGTCCGCATGTGGGTTTACGAGGAAATTGTCCAGGGACAGCGACTCACAGAGCTTATAAACACACGACACGAAAATGTAAAATACCTCCCTGATGTGAAACTTCCCGAAAATATCGTCGCCGTGCCGGACCTTTTGCAATCTGTTGAAGGAGCGACACTCCTGGTCTTCGTCATTCCCCACCAATTTGTGAAAGGAGTGTGTGAACAACTCAAGGGAAAAATCCACCACAATGCTCGGGCAATATCACTCATTAAGGGTGTCGACATATCAAAAGGAGGGCTTCACCTTATCTCCGATCTGATTAAGGAGAATCTGGACATCGACGTGAGCGTTTTGATGGGCGCGAATATTGCCTCTGAAGTGGCAATGGAAAACTTTTGTGAGAGTACCATCGGTACGCAACATATGTGGTGTAGAGATTAGACTAGTTGAAGAGTACACTGACTGCCTCGTAAGTGTAGGTTGCACCGATCGCCTTAACGGGGAAGCGTTCTGGAAGATATTCCACACTCCTTATTTCCGCGTGGCTATCGTTGATGATGTCGCTGGTGTGGAGCTGTGTGGTGCTCTGAAGAACGTCGTGGCCATCGGTGCTGGGTTCATTGATGGACTCAAGATGGGCGAAAACTCGAAAGCTGCCATTATCCGGATTGGTCTTATGGAGATGAAAAAGTTTGCAAAGACATTCTACTCTGGCGTAAAGGATGAAACTTTCTTTGAAAGCTGTGGTGTCGCGGATGTGATCACCACATGTTTTGGTGGCAGAAATCGTAAGCAAGACTGGAATAATTACAATTGCAGATTTTTCTGCCGATCATTAGAGTTGAGCACTGAATATACATCGCTCGATGCCGATATTTAGGTCGTGTTGCGGAGGCCCGTGTACGGACAGGCAAGTCTTTCGAGACACTCGAAAAAGAAATGTTGAATGGGCAGAAGCTTCAAGGCACCTTGACCGCTAAGGAGGTTAATGAGATTTTGAGAACGAAGAATATGGTGGAACAGTAAGTGATCCTTCAGGCCACCGTGCTATTCCGATCGAGGGGCTTACTTCCAACTCGCGCAGATTCCCATTCTTTACCGCAGTGTACAGGATTTGCTACGAGGGTTTGCCACCAAAGTCTCTTGTCGAGGTGATTTAAAGAGTTGTATGCTGAAGGGACATCATAGCATAGGCAAGGATATCGTGATTGATAGCCAGTACTATAGAGCAGCCTTTGGCATCTAGCCCAAACGGTGACGAAACTAATAGAGTAGCAGTATCTATGTCTATCTCTCTTTGTAGATATGTGAATGTGGTGCTGCCCCTGTGGGCTTCGTCCATTTCAGCTCAACTGCGCTTGTCAACTGCTAGTGCTCCTGCAGGCTATCGGTTGTGCTCTTCTACAGAGCTTTGATTTGGGCTGTTCCGTACATTTCCTGCCGCTTGCAATGCCTCCGGTCTTCTTCCAGAAGACTACAGGTGCGGACGCTTGTACTCTGGCCACCCTTGGTCCTGTCATCATCTGTTACATAATGTAGTTTTATCTCATGGTCTTCACCAATTCAATTCTGCATTAACGCTCAACAATGCCCGTCGTCCTTCCAAGTCGCTTATTAGGTTTTTTCAGTCTTATCAATCGGTGCTGATCAGGGTCTGAGTGCGACTAGCATTTCTCGAAAACATGCAGGCCTTTGGTGACGAATCACCTGCAGCCGCCGGAGACATAGCTTCTGGTCATGGCGTCAACCTTTCTTGCCGTCCTTTTCTGACTCTGTAGGTTAGGACGTGATGCAGTGCGCATTATTCATGTCTGCAACAATGCCGCTGTGATGATAGATTTTCCTGCACTGGTGTAGCACTCTATCGTCAGCATTAGGAAAAAGACGAAATGAATCCATGCGCGCGGACTTGACGGCGGTTCCAGTCTCTGGACCTCAATGCAGCACTTTCTGGTCATCTAGTAATCGACAACTGGATCATAGCTTAATTTTCATTCATGAATGATCTTGATTGCAAACGATCGAACTTAGCTGCAAATGTATATTGGGAGGGTTTTAAGGTATTGACCGGTCTTGCATTTCATTCCACACCAGCTAGTCGTCGAATCCGTCACCAAAGAGTGTGCTAGTGGTTGCAAAGCGTCTAAAGCTTTACCCCTAGGTCAAATTTGAATGGCTGGTCTCGTTAGACCTCCTGTCAGTGTCATGACATGCAAAATACAATTCAGAGTACACAGTGAGGAAAGAGCTGTGACTAATATAAAACAAAATAACACATCCAAGAAAAGCCTCCATAGCGCTCATCAACACCCCGGCTTACAAAACATTTGCCGGAAGAAAATAATGGAGGGAATTCAAAAGACTATATCGACCAACACAGGGTAGATAGCTAGTGTCCCATCTACTACACAAAAGACCTCCCCACCGTCCCCCAACCAAGCCCAGTTTATATTCCCGCTGGCCATTCATTATCAAACGTTATGAGGCACCTTATTTTTACCTGTACAAGTCCGATACATTTCCACCTATCTCTGCTATGCATCCACCTCCATTGCATTGTCACCTCGCTCTCCTTGTTTCTCCTCCTGTCCATCCTCCACCCTAAACCACCTAGGGAGGCTCCAGCCTTTCCCATCGGTAGCTTCGACAACTTGAGACGGCTGCGACATATCACCGTTATCATCACCTTGCTTGTACCATCGCGGTAATGAGGTCGTCTCTGGCAATCCAGGACAGGAGCTTCCATTACTGCCAAATGATGATGCGGTTCCCATGGACCACACACTTGGAGCCTCCGAGGTAACGCTAGGGCAACTATTTGAGACGACGCTTTCCGAGTCGCGTCCACGGCCTTCCAGCATTTTCTCTAGGACAGTTTGCTGATACAAAAAGGCCTCAAAAGTGGATGTCGTTGACGAAGAAGACATGGATGACAGAGATGCACTGGAAGAGACAGAGCACATGCTTGCGCGATGGTGTAATGGTGATACGGGAGGGTGAGGTGGGAAGTAGTTGTGGTCACTTTGCGCAGGGGCAATTTGTAGGTGATACGGTTGAACGCGATGCTGATGAGGGTGATGCGGATTCCGCACACCTAACAGAGGATCCGCACGCTTCTTTCGTACGGCGCCAGATCTCCCCAAGTTGGTATGTCCCTGTGCCGACGTAACCAAGACGGTAGGTCCTGTGGTGGCGATGATATTTGGTGACGAGATCCGCGTGCTCGATCCAGTCGAGCGCAACGAGGCGGCATCGCTAATCGGTGAGCTCGTGTACGACATTGGTCGAGGATGTCCAGCCTGGGGTATGAATGACGCATCTGCTGGAGATGCCGGGGAATGCACGTGGTGTGAAGAGAGACTTGGGAGATAAGGAGAGATGTTGTTCCAGGACATGCCTAGGGGGAGCGCTGCTGGTACTGGTGATGGCAGAGGTGATACAACGGCTGTTGCGGACGCTGCCGGTGCGATAGGAGCAGTGGGGGTATTTGGTGACAGAAATATCGGGTTCAGAGTGGAAGATGGAGTGGAATGGGAGGTAGAACTAGACGTTGAAGATCGTGATAGGCGTTGATGTGGTGTGTGCAGAGGCGGCGCTGCCGCGTCGTTGATCGGCGTGCTTGTTACAGCTTGCTCCTCCAACCAGCGGGCAAACTTTTGCATCGCTGTGACCCATTCAACGTATTCTGCTTCTGGAACGTACAAATCAAAGGAAATACCAGCCAAAAACCCCATTTCGATTCCATTGAGTTCATCCAGGGGCATCTGCGCGACCTTTGCCCACCAACGATTTGAGTACCGCGAGTCGTCAAGAAACTTGTTCGCAGCCGCGAGAGCTGCGACTAGCACTCCAAATTCTGACGTTGAATCTCCCGATACAGCGCGCTGACCTTCCGACACGACATTTCCAGGCTCCATGTGCATTTCGACGTGATTGTCCACCATCATTGCTCCGCCGGCTCGTTCTCTCTTTCGATGCAGAAATCTTTCCACGTACTTGAGAGCCACTAGAATGACAGGCAAACTCAATTTTGAGCCAGAAATAAGCCGTTGTGCAAAGACAGACAGGGCCGCTGGTGGCCGACCGGCCGGAGTTGATTGCGTTTGCTTGGCGACAGTGAGCCATTGTGAAGGGTGTTCTGGCAACAGAAAGGAGTCTGGAGGAAGGGAGAGGTGGTGGACCATGACGTGAACGACGGTAGCGACGAGACGGGAAACACGAGCGTAAGAGGATTTTGAGCTGTTGGTAGTTTTGCTAGTTCGTAAGGATGGTGGTCGCTTCCTGTCCGCTCCATGAGGGGAAGAAGGAAGCAGGCCTTTTGAGGCCATGTAAGTGTTTTCAGTGTGTTATACTAAACGTAAGCGAGAAACAAATGTACAATGTCATGTTCATTAGCCCAAATGAACGTTAAAAAAAAAAACGACGACGACGACGACGACGACGAACGTCTTGATTTTCCAGGCAAGAAATTCCCAGGCAATGGGCTGCGAAGGAATACAATGCAAAGGACTATAACCATATATGGTTATATGGGAGGGGTCACAAAAGTTTGCGAGAATTCCAAGATAATTTCCTTTTATAGTAATATTTCATTATAATTTGTAACGAAATATCACGTGTGGTCGTTCTCAAAAGAAGCAATCGCTGGCACATGGGCCATGGGTTCCCAATGGAAGACGGCTGCGGAACAACTGGCGGAAGTAGATATGATCACATGACCTCATTTTTTACAGTCACGTGGACACATGCTTTTGGACAATACTCGATATCAAAAAAGGATGGGCAACTGGGTGTAGGTAGCAGCTGCGAGTGTAAAAGAAGCACACAAAGGTAATAAAGCATGTTCATGAAGGTACAGTAACAAGCCATCCGTCTTTCCCCTTCTTGATGGTGACATGGTCGCTCTTTCCCCTCGCGAATGTGACGGTGATGGCTTTTCCACCCGAAAATGTTGTTCGCAATCTAATAAATGGTCAGTCAACACATGTGGGAGCAGGGTCGGGATGCGTAGCAACAAACCTGTCCTCTACCGTCACTTTTATACTCTTTCCCGAGTCTTTGCATGCCAACAACAGGCGACTCATAAATTGTATGCAAAATTCGTCACTTCGCACGACGACATCTCCTTTAGCATTGGACGGACAGTGGATCATCATGATGCCATCGTTCAGGGTGGATGTAGACACGCCTATAATATCTTGCAGCGGGAGCTTGTCCTTGATGTGATTCTTATCCATTGTGTAGACATGGGAGGGTGTCAGGACAAGCAGGCGCGCGACTTGCTTGGAAGGATTTGATCGGTGGATCTTGCTGCATGTAATGGCGGAGAGGATTTCTGCATATAAATCGCAACTTGTTAAATTCATACAGATGTATGTGCTTCCAAAAACGCAATCTTACCCCCAGGAACATTTCCCACAACCTGAACATGCTCTGGCTGAAACACTTGCCTGGAGCTATCTGCAAATGACGCTTTCTTTTGGAATGCGTCGTATGCAGTCGCTTTCCATGTCAGCTTCCATTTCCTGTCACTAGGTAATCGCGCGCGGTATCGTTTAGCCTACACTTGACATGTTAACTTTTCTATGCACACATTCTCCCTGTTTTGCAATGAGAGGGGGCATACCGAAATTCTGCGATACCACAGTCTGACGAGTTCATCCACACTCTTGCCCAAGCGTCCCTTGAGCGCATTCGGCCACTCTACTTGTCTCCAGGCATCGCCTGCTCGTCGAACAGAATCCGCGACCGTTCCCAACCATACGCGCGCATGGTGTCTTCGCCAGGCTCGCTGTATCGGTAGAACGGCGTATTTGGGTAGCGTACGTCGGAGGTGGTTATACTGTCGACGGACCTTGGCACAAGGAAATCTGGCGTAAGTGCTCCGTGAAGGTAGTTTGCATGATGGAGATACTTACAATCCATCCTCGGACATTTTTTTGAATGATCAAGTTCGCCTTCCTGATTTTTCGATATTGGACAACATGCTGAGACGCAAGATAGTCAGCGCATCCGTTACACCCTCATCTACATATGATACATACGAGACGCCTCCTGGAATATGCCTGTAACTTGATTACTTGTTTCCGCGTTTTCAGGAATGCTTGGCGCTCGCGAGAGCCAATCCATATTGCGCGAATAATGGTTGCTAACCACGTCTTGCATTCGTTACGGAGCATCTCGATGCGTAAAATCTAAAATTATGGGGACCAGTCATATATCCATCTGTAACAAATCGAGAGAGTATCTACAAGGCGTACCGTGTCTGGATGTCTGATGAACACTTTGGTTTTTCCCAGCCTGTATTCGCTCTCATCAACTGCAGCCTCCTGCAATACCTTCAATGTTCCTTCACGCACGTCTCCAGCACGGTAATTTGGCCAGGTGCCTTTTGGGTCTGTGCTTCGATCGGGCCCCAGCATTTTATATCGCGCAAGGAACTTTGTGAAAGGTGCCCGGTAGCAGAAACCTGCTCGACGGACGAGGATGTTTTCACGAAGACTTTGATGGCCAACGGTTCAGCAACTGCTAAATATCAAATAAATGGTCATTTTTACTCACCCCAAGTATCGACATTGATGTCGAACCAGTTCTTGATCAAAAACATCTGGCCGCTTGGAGGCGTTGGGCTTAATGCAGCGGATGTAGTGGGGGTTCTTTGACATGAGATTTTGAATAAGCGATGACATTGATGTCTAGTGCCAGGTTAAGAGTAAGCAAGAGTGTGAAACTTAAAATTGGCTCGTTCCTTTGCTGCTCACCTTGAACTGAGTCGCCAATGTATCCGGCCTCTTCTGCCCTTTACCACCAGCGACGCCAACTCCCGCATCCCCTTCCTCTGGGAACATTTCCCTCACGCCTGTCTTTTCACTCCCAGCGATACATAAAACAACGTCTCTCCAGAGGGCATCTACGTTGCGATCCAAAAATCCATCCACCTCGTACATAACATCTCCTGCATAATGCTTCAATGTAAAAGCGTTATGAGGTAGGAGTTGTGATGATTGTGGGGCGGAGCCAGTGAGCGCCGGATTTGAACGATTGCGTGATTGTTTAGCTCGTGAGTCGTAGTGTGGGTGCTTAATTACGTTACTATCGAGCTTTTGCAGGAAAGTCAAGGGAGTGGGGGTTCCTGGCATCGTGCATTCTTCGTCCAGAAGTGAGATAATTCCTCGGTTCTTCGATTCGATAAGTTCGCAGATTGTTTCATTGTTGAAAAAATCGATTGTGGTCCACTCAATTCCCTGCATGATGCCCAGGTCGTCGATTTAGAGATGCTCGCTTGACGCCGCAAAATGTACGTGAAACCACACACCTCTTTTTCATAATCTTCCTGTTCGGACTTTACTGTCAGTTCGATGAACAGCTGCTGCAACTTCTCGTTGCAGTAATTAATTAGGAATTGATCAAACCCGTTTGACTACCAAAGTCAGTTCCCTTTTAGTACGCATGTATCGAGTCTGGCGATGACGCACGCCTGTCCACAAGCATACCTGAAAAACCTCAAATCCATAAATATCCAGCACTCCGATTACGCTAAATCCTCTCTGCTCTGCTTCAGAGCCTGGAGAAATGCATCCATTCAAGGTGGTGACAAGGTGGGAAAAGAGACGACCGTAAAGAAGTTTGGCGAAGGCGTCGCGCGTCTTGGTGGCCTAAAGTTGCATGTGTTTGCAAACTCTGGAATGGTCTACTTCTGAACAAAAGCTCATCACTCATCATACCTGACCAGGCAGAAGTGGGACGGTGATCTTTTCTTTTTTTGCCTGGTCATAGACCGAGCGGTGTGTCAAAACCTGCGACAGACTTTCTGGGGTAATGCCAAGAAGCCGAGATACGTGCGACAACGCTACGAAGGATATATGCCAACATGACTGATTGTGCAGAAGCGGCCCTTTTCCTGGCAAACGTACCTTCCTCTCCGACTACGCGACTGCCCTCGACACCAACCTTTTCCTCGTCTCCTTCCGTCATCAAAACCTCTTCTTCAAATCTAATGTTTCCCAAGTGCAGCACGGCCGCCACGATCTCCATCCAGAACCTTCGTGTTTCTTCCTTGACCCCAACCTCTTGCATTGCCTGAATGATAGCAGTAAACGTCTGCGCATCGTTAAAGTCTTCTGCTGGGTGGCAAAGGTAGGCATAGTTGCTTGTATTGCGGGTAAGGCTAAGGTGTGCTATAAACAAATGTGAAACTGGTCAAGATATCGCAACCACACGAACATGGACCGAGTAGCCTACATAAAAGGTCATCATCGCCTCCCGATAGAAGCTGGTAAAAGATGTGAAATGATCGTTCCCCGGACGATTGATGTACCACGCGTGACTTTTCCAGTAGATCTACACAAAACAGTTGGTGAGCTACGTAGCTCCCTTCAAAAAACATTGTATGCTCACATGTAGTGATTTTTCCTCCGACAGGTAGTCCTCGGAAATCAAATTCCAGGTCCATGTATTTGCCCTGGACGGAGAGACAGATGGCATTAATTTCAACCAGCTTCTCTTCAACTTGCTAGACGGCAGATAACCCACAAATCGGGAAGAGTTATCGTTTCGTGCGGTTTTCGCATTCCCAAATGCTAAATTGAGGAATTGATATCACGTACCCCACAGCGTTTACCAAAGCCCATAGGATAATCATACCTTCCAGACACGGATTGGCGCTCACCAACCGCTCCTTCACACCCTCTCCTCCCTCGACAACGCCTGCGACATAACCCAGAAAGATTTTTGATGCTTCCGTCTTTCCCGCTCCACTCTCCCCCGTGATCAGGACGCACTGGTCTCGTGCGTGGGTCAGTAGGGACCGGTAGGCGGTTTCGGCAATCGAGTAACTGTTCAGACGACATGTTGTTAGATTTGCTATCGTGGGGCGATGCGGAAGACACATACATGTGTGGAGGATGTTCATAAATGTTAGACCCCTTGTATCTCGTTGCCCATTCGGGAGAGTATATTGGAAGTTGTTTGTATGGATTAATGGAGACGACAACGTTGCCAATGAAAGTCTGTCAATGCACCACCAAAGTAAATTACGTTGCAGGCGACGCCGCGACCACAGATCCAGCCGGAACTCACGTAAACGACATCGTTTTCCAAGCGCTTGCGTATATTTTCCACAATCGATTCTTCGGTAATCTCCGAAAGGAGGACAAAATCAGATACACCAGGCTGGGAGGTATCCATCGCGGACGCAAGGTACTGGGCACAATCAGTCTATGAACCTGGTTATCTAGGACAGGCCTCTCTACCGCCACGTCTTTGGCCCAAGATGGCCCTATCTGAGATGTGTTTTCCAACTACCTAGAGAGAAACGCGCAGATCTATTTTAATCTTGAGATGCTCCGACGTTATCAAGTGAGCAGACATTACCACACACCCGTTCCATATTAGCAGGCATTACCACACACCCGTTTATACTTTCCACTGTTGATGACTGGATCTAAAAATACCCCGAAAAAAGCGCTTTCAATGATTCAAACATGATTTCGGTCGTGGAATATTTGACCAGCCACATCGATAGAGTCTGGCTTGCTTATAATGCCCGTCAACATGGTATGAATGGAGTATTTCTTTACCTTCCGCAAAGGACCCGCATGAAGCGCTAATGCTGCTGAAACCCGCGGATCTGGAAGCACATGTGCCCAAATCTAACAGTTTGAACATGGAATACACCCCTGATACTACCTATAAGATCTCTTGATAAAATTCTCCGTGACGGTCGCTATAAAAGCAAAAGAACGGAAGACTAGGTAACAAAAGTTGTCAGGGATGTACTTTGTTGCAACAAACCTTTGCACCATAGCAAGTGGGAATCGGTTACGATTACCACTCTGGAATTTGTGTATGCTGACAGTCTTAATTTCTCTGAGCATGTCTACGGACGGTATCTCCAGCTGTAGTCTTTAATCAGATCATTAGGAGTTCTATTGCGCCTGCTCTGAAGCATATCATGACAGCAGTCTACATTTGCCCAAGTGTTGTGTGCGGCCATATCTGCTTAGTCACGCGTCTGGTGCCATTCCAGAGTCCTCCAACACCTTTTCGGGACCTGCTCAAACTTGGGAGCGAATTGTGACAATAGCAGAGTAGGTTCAACTAGGATTGTTGGACATAAAAGATAACCACGTAAATTCTCTACGAGAGCTGACTCACTAGGCTAGGAATAGGAATCGTTTCCCAAATCTATTTTTGCTAGAGCCACTATTAATGCTGTCACTGGTCCTCAATACAATGTGAAACTGTCTTCCACCAGCCGTTGAATTTCTTCATATCCCACCCCTCTCGGTGCCAACCTTGTTACCCTCTCCTGTGGCAAAGTTCCTTCCACCAACTTAGGAACATCCTCCTTCGAGTATCCTAGGGCAGAGAGACCGTTTGGCACATCGAGGTTATCCAGAAACCTTCGGAGGGCATCCGAAAGAATCAATCCCGCGTCAGCGAGTTTTGCATTGGTGACGTCCGCACCTGAGCAACAAGGATTATGTCTCATGAGTTGATGGACAACATTACACGAAGATCAATATGCACGAGAACGTACCGAACAATGCTGCGGCTTCAAGATGGCGTTCTGGACACGCTGGTGCGGTGAACTTGAAAACAGCGGGCGATGTGACTGCTACCGAGATGCCATGAGGCTGACATAATTGGAGCCGGAGTGAGCAGGGAAGCTGATCTGGTCACGTGAACCCGGACGGTGGGAAGTAAAACAGCCACATACCACTATGGGATGTCCAACATCGTAGCCTTTATGTCTGTAGCTCTTGACGCCACCAGCAATGGGATAACTCATACCGTGACAGAGATGCACTCCAGCATTTCCAAACCCGATTCCGGCAAATGTGGACGCCAAAATCATTTGCTCCTGCGCTCGATGATTCGAGGCATCCTTGTACGCTTTGGGGAGATTGTCGATGCACATCTTCAGTGCCTTAATGGACCACATATCAGAGATGGGATTGGATCCCTGATAGGCCGGACGGAGGATAGGGTTGGTCGGGCGAGGAGAGCGCAGATTGTAAGGGATTGCGGTATACGATTCGAGGGCGTGGCTGTTCACTTAGAATGTCAACGACCCAATACGGTGGGCATACCGGAACCATCGAACATCATACCATAAGACATCCAAACCACTTGCAACATGTACTTCGGGAGGCATGGTCCTTGTGTTGATAGGATCAACAATCCCCAACAGTGGCTTAAGGGACCTATGCGCAATTCCCGTCTTAAAGTTCTGAGGCTTATAATCGAAGATAGCAACGCCTGTCGTTTCACTGCCCGTCCCTATCACAAGTAGCAATTAGACTGCAGCACAATGTAACGATATTGGACAGACATTCTACACACCAGCGGTCGTTGGCACTGCGGATTGACGTAAAGTATTATTCGTTAGAATGCCTATGAGGGGACAGTGTGACCTTAAGAGGTTCATACCAGCAATAAGGGGTTTAACAGGATTATACGGCGGCTTCCCCTTTCCGATGGGGGCTGCGAATTGAAGTCGAAGAGTTCAGTGTCGTCCTTGCGTGTAATCTGACAGCCCAAACCTACCATTTACAAACTCTAGAAATCCCTCCTTTGAATGACACAAGTACAAATTGGCAGCCTTGGCAGTATCGATCACACTTCCGCCACCAACAGCTACAAATGCGTCAACGTTCTCCTTTCTGACAAAATCGATGGCATGTTGAAAGGATTCGTCTGTAGGCTCAACTCTGACATGCGGATAGAAGACATGTGGAACGTTCTGTGACTTAAGAGAGGACAGTACCGTTTGTGCCGGATATAGGCTCGCGATCTTTGGATCGGTGAATACCGCGACTGATGGGGTCAAAATTGTCGATCACAGCTCTCCACTTAGGGTACTGATCAAAAAGCTATTAAACGACGGGTAAACACACACCCTTTCGTGCCCCAATGTTCTTCAGATCCATGCCCACTTCCTTGGTCACACCGACACCATATCGAATGTTTGACGCAGCCATCTCAAATGCGTACTCTGTATCCTCCTGTGCAGTCGCCATACCCTTATGGTCGTGACGATGAGAGTGGTCATTCCCATGAGTGGAACAAGGGGTCACTGGAGACCAGTGAAGTACAGTAAGTAAACATGTAGCTCCGGAAGGCAAACATGGACGTCGGAGAACGAACCTGCTCGAACTCTGCCAGCGGGAGAGTGGCATGGACACCTTGCACCGGCCGCCGATACAGCGGACATCACGTTCCAGACGGCAGCGCGTGTAGGTTTTGCCATGCTCTATTCTTTGACGGGGGCAAATGCACAGTGCAGATGGGATGGGGAATGCAAGCGACAAAAGCAGGCCGGATGATTTCTGGGGTGAACACCACTTGTGTTACGGACGCGCTTCATGACTAAGGGTGGCTTAGCGCGTTGTCAGCACATTTCGATGCATTTGGGATATATTCTGATCGACCTTTCCAATGCCTGCAATAGGCAGTCGATAGCTGTAAGTTCATCATCCAGTGTCAATTTTATTGGATAAATTCACTCATAACATCACGAACTTCTCGCTGAACTTGATACAACCTGACAAAGACATTGTACTTCTTGTCGTGGAATATCCTCTCCTCCCCGACGCAAGGCTCAACAACTTTTCCAACCCTGCCCATCTTTTTCATCCATTTCCACAGTACCTCACGTTCATTATGCTTGCCCCACTCAGAAGCTGTAGCCCCAATGACAGCGGCACCAACCAGTACAGCATCCCGCTCCTCTGGAATAATGGTTCTACATCCACAACAGTCCGCTAGTGATTGCACAAATAGTTCGTTCTGAGTAAGACCCCCGCTCAGGAAGAGCGTATTAAGGTTATATCCGCCTTTCTTGAGAGCATCGATGATCATTCTCGTCCCATAGCACAAACTTAATACTCCCGCGTAATAGCACTTTATCAAATTGGTTTCGCTTGTATCTAGGTCACACCCTAGCATGGCACCTTTAATATGCGGGTCCGCTAGTGGGGAGCGGTTGCCGTGGAAATCCGGGGTAATATGTATATTCTGAGTTAGAAGAGCCCAAAACGGCAATCGTAAACGTTCGGACTCTCGTGCGATTAAGGCGTTAAGGTAGGAGTAAATGGACAGAGAGCCAGCCTGAGCGGCTTTCTGAGCAGTGGTATACGCGGGATGCGTCGTGATGAGATGGTGAAGAAGCGCACCCGTAATTGACTGGCCTCCTTCTGCTATGTGGAAATCGGGTAGGAGAATATCCGCGTAGGGACCTTGGATGAAAAGTCAGACTCGCGCGTTCCTGCCCAGATGGGGGCCACCTACCCCAGACTCCGCTCACAAAGGCCTGATGCGGAGACAATGCAATATGACAAGAAGAGGTTCCTGTTTCGGCACAAAACCGTACAGGAATATTAGAACACTAATCCAAGTAATTGTTAACGCCGGTCCTACCACAGATAACTGCCATGCGATTTTGCACATGCTCAAGTGAGAGGCCTGTTCCAGGGGAACTCTCAGCACCAATTGTCCTAGCTCAACATCAGTAACCAACTCAGAATCGTCTCAAGGGATGAGCAACCGCCACCCCTACTTACCCAAGCGCGCCCTAATGGGTTCAATAACAGTGCATCTCAGTCATTATACCTTGCCACACCACAGTATGAATTGACTTACTGCATAGGCATCAATTACGGCGCCTCCGACTTTTGCTCCCTCGGCTCCTCCTAGACCCAACTCCTTGGCTGCCTGTTCGGTTAATCCTCGGCCAATAGGCTCCCCTGCTTTAACAACCTGCTGGCCGCCAAATCGTTTGAAACCATCCTGGACAACATCCCTCATCCCCAGAGCAGTCCAAAAGTCCGTACTCCATCCTTTGCCAGATTCGTACGTCCATTTACAGCTGAGTGAATTCAACCCACGAGTGGAGTATGAAGTAGCTTTGAGAGTAAGGAAGTCGGGCAGTTCGAGGAGCAATTGAGCGCTTTGATAGGCCTCAGGCAATTTACGGTATAGCCATAGGATTTTCGCAGCAGACATTTCAGGACTGCTGGACGTTTTAAAAACAGGTGGACTCGATGAGATCAAAGGATGTTAGCTGACCTGATCTTTCCACCTGTTCTTTTCAAAACTGAATGACCCGTAGCCGACATCTCATCGGCTTCTTCCTGCGCTCGATGATCCATCCTTCATTCCATCCACTATCATTAATGATACCATATGGCATATCAATCAACTGCATACCACATAATCACATTCCATTTTGGGTTGCCAGACGGGGACACACTGACAGGTCCGTACTGGTCATCAAGAGCTACCAGACTACAGGTAGCATCAAATCCAATACCTAATGAAGTGTGATGGTAGCTGGTCACTGTACAATCTTTTCCTATTCGCACCTCTCCTACCTTTTATGGATCTAGCATCAACACCTGACACATCGACTGCTTGCTGTACGGCCATACAGCAGGCCTCCCAGATATTATCGGAGGACTTCATTGTGCATAATTCACCTTAATTCTAAGTAAACAAGGTCATGCTGGAGCTGACGTTATAGAGCACACCTGCTCATAGTAGTCCGTTAAAGGGTGGTTTATTTCCAAAGGATGGGACGCTATAGCCTTTATTCTTCCTTCACCATCAACAACGGCCGCTCGTGCTAGTGGAAAGAACATTATAGAGCCTCATTCTGGAAAACAGTGACTGGCGCTGTGTCAATTTAGTGTACCGGAGGATGTTCCGACGTCTACTCCCAAGAACAGACTCTCCTTTGGGTTGTGCATTGGCAGAGTGCCCCCAGTTCGAGGACCCGTCGCGAGTGTATCTGCGTTGGCCTAGCAACAGCAATAACCACGCACCTTACCAGGCCTCACGCAGTGAACTGAACCACTGCGCTTAACGAGTATATCACAGCAAACGAGCATGAACCCTGACTACATCTCCACCAAGACATTGCCCCCTGAGGTAGCGTCGGTCGACAGACAGACCTTGCAGCAAAGTAGGCTCTTTCGTACCGGTCCTTCTTCTGTTGAAAATATACTGACGGGACAACCAAGATCAGAAGGCAAGAACCTCAGAATCCTCAATTCCATATTTTCGCAACCCGGAATCCCTGCCCCCTCGCGGGGGTCGTAGTGGCCGTGGCAAGGGCGGGCATAGTGGCATGGGAGGTGGTGGCAGAACTGTAGATGCCCCACCAGAAATAATTGACACGTTTCAGGAGCTCAGTGGAGTCCTAGATGAATTGGTACGGTATCCCGAAAATATTCATATTCACTCTAAAGTTAGAGTGTGCAATATGGTTGTAGCTGATATCATCCTAGCATGACAGACGAGAGCGGATTATCAAGTTATCTCGGGATATTACGATTTGCAGTAAACGAATGATTTTCCTTCTACACAGGTACATATTATGTGTTTCTCTGAAGGGCTTTTCAGTCTTCATTGTAAATTTTACTCCGAGCCTATTTCAGAATAGCTGGTATAAATCGGTCTAAAATACTAGCTGAAGCGAGAGATAAGCAGAAAGAAATCATTCGATTATTTGATCAAGTTGCTGCAGAATTGAAAGGAAATGATTTTTATAGGTATTATCTTGAATTCCATTTGAAATTGAACAATCGTTGATCCTTCCTGACTAATTTAGACATCATCGCTCCATCGGTCCAGGCTGCGAAGAGTTCATCGAAGCAGCGTCCTTCCTAGTATACGTAGAGAGAGGGGAGCTGGCGACAAAGGACGAGTTGCAGAAACTATTGGTGAACGAAGAAGGAAAGCAGGTGAGCTTAATACAGTGCTTAACGTATGCTTGTGGCAGAAAATATAATTCTGAGGTGGTGTAGATCCTAGAGATTGCTGATGAAGACTATATCCTGGGCCTTGCAGATCTAACAGGGGAACTCATGAGATACTGCATCAACTCGGTCGTACGGGGTGAACACCAAGTTGCAGAGGACATTTGTCATTTTTTGCGAACAATGAAGAACGGTACGCTTACCCGGTCAACGGTTTGGGAATATGCGATGTTCATTTAGACCTTCGGAATAGAATATGAGATCATCGATTATCCACCGGCGAAAAAAAAGATGTCCACCATGAGAAGTAGCCTTTGGAAAGTGGAGAACGGTAAGAAGGGTAGAACAAATGAAAGCTTTTCGTTTGGCTTAATTGAGCGATTGTTATAGCCTGTTACGCTTACAAAGTTCGAGGCGCTGAGCGCCCATCGCAATATTTCGTTGACGAATTGCAAAGAGGAGAGAGCTACGGATATCGCGGATGGGAGGACGAGGGCCCTTTGGACGCTGAACGCCTCTATTGAGGATCAATCCCTGTACATTATTGACCAACTGCAAAATTCTCCAGTATATATTGACACAAAATGAACCATTACAAATTTTGGGTGAAAGCATCCAAAGAAGTAGTTTTATACACACGACCGATGCTATATGCTCATGGGGTGGGGGTTTATATACAAGGATTTCCGCAAATATAATTTGCACGCAATAGAAGAATACGCCAAGTTTTAACTGTTCTCTTCTTTGTTAGTTCCAGCCACGGCTTCGACTTCCTATTCCTGATCAATATGCACGCGTGGTCGATAGCCTGTGATATGAGGTGGAAGGCGTTCCATAATTTCTCGCCAATTAACATCAGTTCCGGCCCGGTTATAGGCTTCTTCTTCTGAGTCATTGTCAGTATCAAACGGATTCCTGCTCCTCGGACCCTTTACAATGATTGGTTCATCTTCAATGTCTGTGTCCTCGGGAACTATCTTCACCTCTGGAGTTGGATTCTCTTCTCGCCACTTTATGGTGTCTGGCGAAAGATCAGGCAATGTGAAAACGTCGTGCTCTGATGCAGACTCCGAGGCTACAGACTGCGTACGTCCATGGTGAAGCTCACCAGCTCCGATAGCAGATGGAAGATCATTTTGAGAGATAATCTGTGGTTCACTCGAAGCGCTCTCAGGGAGGCCCCATGCTAGAGTCCCGACTGCAAAGAACCCAATGCCATTGACTGACGTAACCTGATCACCGGATACGAATTCCGCTGGAGCCATGTGCAATAGGACTCGTTGATTGGTGTTTTGTCTGATGAAGTCATTGAGAAGAGACGGATTGGCACGACCGGCAAAGGTACAGAACACGTTCTCCCCTTCATTAGGGACAAAACAGATCGAAGTCGGCGTGCACCAAGGGGCATGGCGACCTTTTCCCTGGTCATCTTCTGTTGTCTCAGACGAGAACTCATGGTTGGCAGGTTTCGACGTATCCTCTGACGTCTCAGATAACGAGGAGATTCTTTCGTTTTGAGCGTTGTAATCGGAGTCCTCAGATTCAGACGTTTCCATCTCGTCCTGTTCGAACGGCATTTTATCAATAGTATTTGCGAGCAGGGGGAAGATGTTAAGATGTTACCCTAGACCACAACACAGAACGTCTTAGCACTCCTTTTGAGAACATGTAGGGAGTTTGGCTACTGTGACGTTCAATATTATTTGCGAGCAGGGGGAAGATGTTAAGATGTTACCCTAGACCATAAGCTCAACACAGAAGCTCTTTGCAGTAGTACTGCTGATGACATGTAGGGGGTTTGGCTACTGTGACGTGCGCCAGCATACAAATGAGTCAGCACATTCCATCCCCACCCCAAGCTCAAAACTCTTCCAGCAAGCTTCAAAGCCTTGTCTGCACGCGTACAGTAAGCGACTGTGGCTTGCTCATGGATTTGCTCAGCAGCCAGGTCTTTCACTTGATATCCAAGACCACACACTGCGAGTTGCAAACAATTATGGAAAGGGGCCACCACATCGCACGCCCAAGACACAGCTGATGGATACATGTATCAAATATAAATAGCATTATAACGAAAAGTTACAGGAAGATACGTCATAGATCTGTTGATTTTGCTTCCCCCATTGCCTTTTCCACGCCGTTCAGACCCACAGATTCTATTAGACTGGTGCCGCCGGTACCAGCCAACTTTGTTCCCGTTTCATGCTTGTCGGCCTCCGAATCTGTGACTCCTTCGTTGGTCTCAGCGACAGCAAGGTCTCTTTGATCGTCATCTGTTTGGTTATTACCATCTACCGGAAAGGTCTTGTTATCAGCCGGTGATTCTGCGCTATTGGTACTAGTGACGCTACGCCTCTTGGACAACGGGCTGAAAGATAGTTTGGGCATTGACGCGGTACTGCCCGCAGATGACAATGGCGCCTCAAGTCCAGCTTCATCAGACGCCTTCGCTAATGTCAGTGCATCGGCTGATGCCGCATGAATCGCCACACTTACAATGGTGCTATTTGGTCTAGGCTTCTTCCTCAAGAAGACTTTATCTTTCTCTGAGAATTTTGTCGCCCCGATGCGAGCGTAGAACATCTTTCGCTTCAGGGTCAGCATTTCCAGGTAAAGATCTTCCTTTCGTCGGGTAGAAAAGAGACCTTGCCGTATATGGCGGGCAAACTGGTAAAATTCGCATACCGCTACCAAACGGTCTCGGCAATTTACGCAAATGGGACACCAAGCGTCTTCGGGAAGATCCGAGGACTTGAATTGGAAGCGACACGTTGGTGAGTTTACGGAAGAGCGTCCACATGTTGAACATCCGTTCGTAACGAGAGTCGAGGAACTCCCCAGTTGGAGCGTACCGCCACTGAAAGCGCTGCTAAGGCGTTCCATAACCGTCTTATTGAAAATTGCTTGGGTTGGCGGTGGGGTCTTCGTTTGTGCAGGGGGTATGTTTGCCCCCAAAGAGGCATCAAAATTGTCTGGCAGAAGGGTTGAGTTACGTTTGGATGAGTCGGCAGATTGAGAATTGGAACGCATCGGAGATGCGGTTTTGGAGCGTTCAAAACGGGATGCTTGTGCCTCAAGTGCTGCAATTTGTGTGGCAGTCATCTCTTCCACAAAACAAGTATTTGCGGAGATGGCATCGATGAGCTTCTTTGTCGACGTGCGGGGATTACCCCCGAATCGCAGACAGGGAAATATGTCGTCCTCTAACGCATTCTTCATGAAGTGCAGCGTATGCATTTTGGACAATTTCACGTCAGCGCTGGCTGTGATGAACTCTTCAAATTCTGCGAATAACACCGGGTCAATCGCTTCCTCGGTAGATTGTCCTTCGGAGGTGTCATCACCCATATCACTAATCGAGGAATACACACTCAAGCGTGCTTGACCCTCCGTCATATTACCCAGTGAGCTTGCGGCCGATGGCTGTTGATGGTCCATGTCTTCCATCCGAGCTCTCAACTCGCGAAGCTGCGACCGCTCCATTTCCAACTGCTGCGTCATTTCCTCCAACTGATGACGCAATGTTTGCTCCTTCTTTTGGTATTCATAACGTTGCCGCGCCTCGGTCGCCACCATAGTATTAGCTTCTTCAAAAAGAGATTTTGTTAATTCTTCCAATTCCTCTTGCACCGCATCTTTCGAGTGTTGTAGCTCAGCGCGCACTTCCACTTCGTCAATAAGCTTCTGACCCATTCGATCCAGATCCTTCTTTACGGAAGCAAGTTCTTGATCCTTGGTGGCAACGGCTTCCTCAAGTTCATGGACACGGATTCGCAGTTTCGACATTTCATGGGTTGAAGCATCTTGTCGCTGTTCCATGACCGTCAGCTTTCTTTGAACTAGGTCAAGCTGTTTCGCCAGTTGCGCGCGCTCCTTCTCCAGGCGCGCTACGGGATAGAGTATGCCTCCACACCTATGACAATACTGGGGATTATCTTCCCTTATAACATTGCGGCAGGTGCATGAAGCATCTGGTTGAGGCTCCTCCTGACTGGGCTCAGCGAGCTCCGCTCCAATTGCCGTTTCACCGTCGCTTATTTTTGAGCTATCATATTCCACCGTACTGGCCCCATCCGAAATTTTGATTGCATCCACACTATAAACAGACGTTCGTGCAGAAGGTTCTCCCACACTCTGCTCAGTCTCAGACCCAATGCTTCCAAATGAGGTTGATCGCTGAATTGTAAGCGAGTCTTGTGAACTGCGTCTATTTGCGTGCTTCACCGATATTGCTTGAAGGCGTTGCTTCAGACTCGCGAGGCGCTCAGCTGTTACTGCAAATTCTGGTGCGGTTGGTGATGTGGGTGGCGGCATTAAAGGTGGTTCCGGCATTGTCTCTATTCAAGGCCCTCCTCGCGTACCCGTAGATTGTAAGGAGGGTACAATATACAGAGGATATTGCAGGTGGGTACAATGGAGAAGCGTTCCGTCCAGTGAAGGAGCGGAGTGGGTGGAAAAATGATCCAGCTCCGGTGAAGAACAAAGAAGCTGTCAGCGGGGAAAGCGGCTGTGGTACAGTGCGATCAGTCACATGACTCTTGCCAGAGCAGTCAATATGGCAGCCTGTTGTTATCCACCAATCCTACCCCCCAAACTCGTCGTCAAGTATCATTAACTATCGTTCGCCACAAGGCGACTATTATCGCTTTAGGATATGTCATGGATTTGGAGTTAAGTCCTCACCGAAATTATGAATGATCGATACACATTCGAAACTAATTTACAGGTTGTTAACGGTACATTGGGCAATCCCCACACCGTGCTCTCAACGCAATCCATTGCGCCTCTTTACACTATCTTGCATTTAGGCAGTCACCTCACTCTGATTTTAAGATCTGCTTTCCAGATTTGCGATCCACCTCCTCGGATCACCACAGAGGGCTCCCAAAGGCCCCTCTCCTGTGGCACACCTTTCAGAAAGAATGTCCCTTCGGTGTCATTCCATTCAAAACCAAGGCCATCTGGCAATGTCCCATTCAAGCAAGCATCACCCCACAGTCCAAGTTTCTTTCCATCAGCGTGTACCAGTGCACGCGGCTCCACTGTTTCATTGAAGTGGAGGGTTGCGAGAGGTGGGGCAAGTTCCATTCCAGACGCAAAGGCGCGAACACATCCAGAAAGCAAGGCAGGACACTGGTGTAGGGTGATGAGCTGTACCATACATATATATTTTGTGCGAGCAGCGTGTACATACCTCATTGCAGACAACACAACAGTCGCACACGCAAGGGTCCCATGCCGTCAAGTACTTGAATCTACCTATATTACAACGCTTTCCCCGCAAGGAACAACTCGTTGGACCGTAGCACCCACATGAATGCACGTAACGTCCGCATAGAAGGACTAAAATAAGACTGAGAAAAAGCTTTGTTTGCATGATACGGTTGTTGAATTCAAACTGAGAGTCGCCTTAGTGAATCTGAATTTCACAACGCGTCTTAAGAATGCTTGGTAATCATACTCCGTCACGTGATGCAATATGAAAATAAACAAATGACGTCAAAGTGTCCCACCAGTTTAGATCAACCCAATTTGAAATTGCATCATTTCCACTTGCATGTACTGATCACACTCGTCCTCCTGGTTGCAATGCGCTTGCAATGCGCTCCAGGGATGTTCTAGTGGAATGCTCAGTAACCTAGTGGTAGAGGGAAGACATTGCCAGCACGGAATGTTTATATATCACAGGAACAAGATAAAGTCTACTTTTAACTAACAAAATCCCTAAAACGCTGACCAATTGGCAGGCTTCCTAACTAAACCCCAGCGTGCTTCATATCCCATCCAGACACACCACTCAAGTGCTTTGAATGCTTCGTCCCGCTCTTTGGCAACATCTCCCCATCTGACGTCCCCAACTTTACTTCCATCCTTTAGAAACTTGTTTGTCACCTTTGCAACCTCTCCATAGAGTCCCCGACGTCTCTGGAACCACGACCATAAAAGAAGGTATTGAGTGCTACTACTAGTTGGCGGATCCGGAAGCCAGCCATAGAGTACTTCCAGCAAGCGCGCTAAATTGTCGAGGGAAGCAGTTGGTGACTTGAGGATCGCTTGCTTGTTACACCAACACTTGTAAGTGTATGCCAGCACAATCGCTTCCTTGCGTTTATCCATCTCTTTGCCCTTCCTAAGGCGCTCTTTTCGTTCCTTGTCCGTTCCATAAATTCTATTCGAATCCCGTCGAACGCCGAACCACATTGCCACCTCTTTCTCATCAGCCACCTCCAATATCTTGTCTGCAAGCTCCTCCACGGAACTTACCGTCCCATCAGAAACATTCCCTCCTTCCTTTTCCTGTTGTTTCTCTTCCTTCTCGGCCTTTTCGCCAATCATCTCCAATCTGGCGACCAGTAGTGGCAAGTGATTAGGCCAATCTGTCTCCAACTTGGAAATCAACTTCTCGCGCTCGCCGTCATCTTTCATCTTTTTAATCCATGAAATTTCCAAGTCTCTGGTAGCCTCTCTCAGCAACGTTGCGTCGTCTTTCTCCTCATCTTTGCCGGTGTCGTCTTTCTTGTCTTTTTCTCTCGGCGAAGGTGGCACGAGCCATGCGACCTTATACAACGCACCTCCATCCAATTTACGTCCGCCGCCAATTACATCCATGTTGCCAACCAACAGATCTCCTTGTTTAGCATCTTTAGGCGCCGGAATTTCACCGCTAAGCCATGCAACAGCCCGTTCTCCTCTTTGCAACGTGCGCCTTTTGAAGGAGCCAGTCTTATCCTCCCGGACAGCATAGCCCAATCCCTTGTACGCGTTCAATGAACCAGATTTACCAAGTGCTTGGTCGAGAATAAGGGGTGTGGAGGTGAGGCTATCGAGGAACTCGACAGACCCCGAAATCACCTGCACACGGATAGTGTATGTTCCATCAGTCACCTTCAATGTCTTTGGGTAGATGTCTTGATACGAGAGTTCCTTTTTGTTGGCGTCAAACACTAAAGGTCGTAGCGACAAGCAGTAAGCGACATGGTGCACTTTGGCAAAAGAGTGAGGACTCGCAGCTTACCGATCAAAACGAAACTCTCAAAAAATGCATCATACAGGACTTCATTCACTTTCGGAACTCGGGGTGTGATGTTCACTCCACCTCCTGCCTCGGAAATTTTGACAACATAGGTCAAAACTAGTTGATGCAGTTGGCGAGTGTCAGGTAACACATCGCGAGATTTTAACGGAGAAATGATCGCATCATTTGGTCGAATGAATCGGCGAAGAGTATCTGAAACATATATTCGATCAAGATGCTTTCATTGATCCGACACCAGGCAGAGGTCTTACCTAGTGTAACGCTAAGAGAGATTTCCTCCTTCCTAACCCCTGTCCAGAGGTCCACTCTGCTAAAGCCGTTATTCCCGGTATTCAGCATGACTAGATCGCCGCCACTTCCAGTCGTCGCACCCAATCCTCCCTGATTCCCCGCAGAGACGGAAGCAAAAATGCCATGGAATTTGAGTTCCACGTCAACTCTGCTGGATTCCAGAGATGACCAGAATTGGGCCAGACACACCTCCAGCGTCGCGTACGAAAGCACGGGAAAGAGCTTAGTATACACTGATTGTTCAGCGTCGCTCGTGGAGGGGTTTGAACCAGTGCGTGAAAGGCTGAAGCTATACGAGTGTTCAAACTTTGTGGACCGCGTTTGCTAGGAGGATCACTCAGTATGTATATAATAAACTTAGAGTCACTTGCAGCAGCAAACCTCTTGCAACTGCATCGTGTGAACGATAAATCGCGCGGGTGAAGCCCGATCGGTGCTTCTCACAATAAGCTCTGCAAGTACAATCATAAGCATCTTTCACCTGTTCATCACTTGTCTAATATCCATAGTACGCACCCGCAAAATTCGCGCCTAAAGGAACACTGACAAACCGCCTTACAATCGTGCCCGGTTCAAATTTCAAGCCTTCCCAGCGGAAATATGCGACACGCTCTTCGGCACCAAAGTGCCCAGCAGCTTCCGGCTTACAGACAGTAACGGGGATACTGAATATGGGCCCAGCTTTAGGATTTTGAGTGTCGTAACCCTGTACTTCCGCGAAGTGAAAACCGGGCTCCAGGGTGGTCGGATCAACCCGGACATTGAAAGATCGCCCTGTTTATACACGAAAGAAGTCAAATTCCGTCTTAGCGCCAAAGTACGGAAAGAACAGCATCACACCGCCATTGTTTAAAAGCACATATTCCGGAGCACTGCGGATCAAAGGACGGGTTGATAGAGTACCCATCGGAAATGAAAGATATTGGCACGTACCTCAACCATCGTTTTGTACACACAAGACCCGCTCTGACTTCTAGGTCGAGTTTTTTTACATTTACTTCAGGGTCATTTTCCTTAAAAAAGTGTGGACGAACTTCTACTTGGAATTGCTGCACGTCACTCGTTTCGTCAATGTCACGTAAATAGATCCCGCGGGCGTTCCGCTTGTCCTGAACCGAGATCTTATTACGGTGCAAGTTAGTAACACAGGAATCCATCGTACTAGCGCATTTTTTTCAATTTACATTATATTCCACATCGAAGGGAGTGAATGCTGCACCGGTCTCCAAAAGATGATCCCATGCTCGCTCCACTTGTATGAATTTGATTCCAAACTCATCGCCAATATCTGAACCGCTTCTTTGGATCGCGGCTTTGACACGATACGGAGTGTAAGGGATCTTGTTGGCTTTTAACGCAGAAAGCAGCAAAGCGATGCAACCACAGCAATTTGGACTAGACATGGACGTTCCATTCATCAACTGAGAATGCTGGGTTGTATACTGCGGCACGCTCGTTACAGCTGCACCTGGAGCGTAGATGTCCACCAAGGCGCCATCGGCTGTGGGTCCTCTTGAACTCCAGGTATAGCTTCCTTCCTTTACTGTATCCAACATCGCATATTCCGCCTGCATCATCCCTTGCGTCACGTACGCCCCCACACCAATTACCCCGCTCGTCGTCCCGCCAGGGGCGCCCGTAGTCGTGAGTGCTGGGCCAGCATTCCCAGCTGATGAGACCACGATGCAACCTGACTTATTGATAACTTCATCACGCAGAAGCTCAACGAACCGCCCAGTGTCCGGAATAGATGCAGCTTCACCATAAGAGATATTAGCCAAGTCCACTTTCAGGCGCGTCAGTTCAATCGCTGCGCGGATGAGGCCGGTTCCAGTTTCCATTGACCCTAGACGCGTATCCCCGATCTTTAGGGAAACAATTTGTGCACCGGGTGCTACACCATCCAAATTTCGATCCTCTGGATAATGTGCCGCTGATATCGCAGCCACATGTGTTCCATGTGAACCAGCAAGTGTCACAATACTTAAAGTTTCGCCTTCATCATAAATGTTAACAGAGAAGTTCAGCATAGAATCATCGCTGAAGCGCACAAACTGCCTCTCGTCGGAATATGTCGTCAACAGGGGAGCATTTCTAAGATCTCCAGATTCGTCCATGTCGACCACAGCGCGCCATTTTCTTCCGTCATGAAAAACCACACAGTCGATGATAAACCCAGGGTCTTCGTAGTTTTTCCATTGCTCCTTGAGCACTTCCAACCGCGTTTTGGTATCCACCTTTCGAATCTCATGCTCTTCCTTGTCTCCCGGCTCCTGAACGCTCTCCAAATGGTCAAGTTCACGCTCGGTCTTAGTCACGAGCGAATGGTGCTCAATCTCAAACTTCTTTCTGCGATCCTTTTGAAGTCTATCGACCAATGGTTTTGGAAATAACTCGGACGACCTCTTGAGCCCCAGCCGATACTTGCCAGTCGGATTGTGCCAGTCGCCAATCGTCAGCGTACGCCCTGAGAGCCCCTGGAGAATACGGCGTGTTTTCCCGTCTTCCTCAATTGAACAAGCTTCGACAACCGTTGTACATTGCACGTCGCCAGATCTAACATTCGTTTAGAACAAGCAACAAGGAGCAATTTCATCATTCTACAGGCACGTAGTATAGGATTTACCTACCCAGTACAGTCGATGATGTCAATCACCTTTGGAAGACCTTCTGTGGTGACCTATAAAACTAAATTTGGATCGTGTTCCTCATACCAAGGGAGGTGGAAGGTCAACGATTTACCCACCTGCAGACCAGGTGCACCGGGATCAACGCCTTAAAATTTTCAGATTACCTTTCAACGTCACAACGGAATAATTGCTGTAATAAGGCCTACCAGTATCCAGGATAGCAATGACCGTCCCTCGTCCATCAAATTCGGGGTTTTTACGGACAAACGAAGCGGCTTGGGTTTCCTTCACGGCAGAAAAACTAAGCAAAAGAGACCTTCGTCATCTGCGCTCCAATTGCTCTCTTATACCTCCTTTGGAAGTAGCCCTTGAATAGGAAAATGTTGAATGTTATGCAGTCCCATCTCTCCCTGTCCGTGCGCGTATTCACAAAATAAGGATCTGCTATGACTTTGAGAGGTTTGGTCAAATCCGGCTTGTACTTGAGATCTTTGACCACTGCAAAGGCCTGCACACCGACTAACTAATGGCAAAGGAGGTCTGTTAACACGGCGTGTATACAGGAGATGAAGATCTGCCGAAGAGCGCACCCATGTACGCCAAACCATGCCAAAACGGCAAAGGAGACACTGACTGGCGGGAGTGAGTCACGAAATCCACAACTTTCAGATATGATCACGTGATTAATGAGTGGCTTAGTCCCGCGACACTATGCGGAAGCCCACAGCTATTTCTGGAAGTTGAACGCTTTTCTTGTCCGTTGTCCAATAATGCGCTATGAATGAGATGTAGTGGCGCTATTGATATCTGACCATAGCAGGGTCAGTAGGATAGATATTTTTAGAAAGTCTTCCATACCAAGGTTAATCTCTTTGCTGCCATATTTTAAGCAATTAGAATGCGCACCCATATATAACCCTCTGCGCGTCGGTGCCCATCCTTTTTTAAGTACATCATTCAAGCAACGGATGCGCGCATTAACAACTACTCCAGGCAAATCTGTAGGGCGTGCATCGTTGGTTGCCGAAAATCGCACGACGGACCCAAGTGTAAGCGTCTTTCGGGATTACCTCCTTGAGAGGATAGCTACCGATCTGAAAGGTAGGGAATGCCTGATATTTATCAGGAGTAAATTCGTATAGCTGACGTATCAGGGTGTCTTGTACATTAGTTTTGCTGGAAAATGGTTGGATTAGCGATGTAGACACAGCAATTGGTCTCATTAGGAAGCAGGTTTTGTCGCCGGCAACCGGAAAGGACACATCACGTAAATTCGGGTCTGAGCCAGGTGCTCCTGAAAATATTTCAAATGCAACCGGTAACTCAGTTCGCAACATGCGCGATAACGTTGACAGTTCTGCTGCTTCGACCCCACCACTCCCGGCGCGAGCAAACTCTGTAACAGGGTTCACGAAAGGGCCAGAAAAACCGCCAATACGACACTGCTCCTCTGTTACCGATGTGCTCAAACACTCTCCTACGCCCTTCCCGTGCACTGATGCCTCCACTGTGGTGTGCATTAAACCTTTCAACAGCGACGTGGCTGGAGATTTACGCTTGAGGGTGGGAGATGTCGTTGAGAATGTGGAAGACGGTGCGTATCGTAAGGAATTACTTTAGCAATTTTGTCAACCCGCTAAAAGGACATTCGCCTTTAGTGGACCCAAATTGGTATAAAGGAACTCTCAATGGGCAAAGTGGAATATTCCCGAAAACATTTGTGGAATCAAGGTAAGTTGGCCGATAGCGAATAGTTATAAATCATTTAATAATACAACACATTTATGAAGGACAAGACCGGTGCCTCCTCTGCCTTCCGCCCCACCTCTTCCCAGCCGGCCTCCCCAGACAAAACCTGCTTCACCTCCCAGGCCAGCATCTTCCTCAGTGACCTCTCCATTAACCCCGGGAGGATGGTTTTATATACAATGTCGTGAGTAGCTGGGCTGTCAATGATACAACACTCTACTATTTCATTAAAACTGGTGCGACGCAATGCCAGGTGCAAATTCGAACGTTTTCAGTGTTGAGGCTAATTCCCTTGCATCTGGCGCGCTGATCAACGTCCAGCCCCAACATGCGGCAGATGCCCATCCCGCAACTATTGGTAATCAGCTCTTCCGTTTCGAGAACGGGTTTCTTATAAACAAGCGGTCCAACCTTGTCTTGGACACCAGTGGAAGCGAGTTGAGGCCTCGTGCACAACTAGTGCAAGCTGACAAGAAAGAAGATCGTGAGAGTCAGCACTGGGTGCTTGGCACCGATGGTTCTATTCGCAACAGTGCACGGCCGCAATTTGTTTTATTAGAAGATCTGGGTTCAGTCATTGTTTGGGAGGATGACGGAACGCTAGGTCGTGGAGCAAGCGTTTGGAAAGTTACCACCAATGTTTCAAAGCCGGCTGCTGCACCAGCGATACCCGCTACACCTGCTGCGCCAGCAGCGGTCCCCGCTCAAGGTGAGTCATGGTCTGTTCAGCAATGAGGGCGTAAAGGTAGATTCCAGAATCTAACTGTCAACTTTCAGCTGAACCGGCAAAGAAAGAAACGCGATCGGACAGATTCACCGACACTGTTGTTACAGGCGTTGGTGCGGGATTTGGGCTTACGGTGGGCCACCGTATTGCTGATCGCTTGTTCTAAAAGTAACTGGTGGGCTGGTGAAATTTATTACTCATTTGTATTTCAAACATTTGTATTCCAAACATTGCCGTAAGCAAATACACTGTTTAGCATGGGTCAGCATATGATTTGCCAGGACTCTGCAGCATTTTTGTGAATACGATATCTGCTTTTTTACCCGCGGACAAGGTGTTTGTTACTGGGAACTTTCCAATCGACACGACGCGACGCGACGGAGATTACCTCAGCGTCCAAACACGTCGCGGAATGTATTCGGGGGGCTAGCAGGCAACAAAGGAATGAACGGTACCAACGACAACAGCTGCCACAGAAAAACCACATAAAAAGCCCTTACAATCCAGTATCCCATTGAATACGGTTTTCGTGCGAAGCCTTCATATACGGACGGACACGACAGTAAATCATGTGGAAGGCTCTACTCCTCCTCGCCTATCTGGCCCTCAGTTGCCAAACGGTAGCGGCTGGTTCGTGGGGTACTACCACCTCGAAACCGGCTACGACGAGGTTCGTGCGCAGTGGTACCAAGAATTTAGTGGCAATCACTTACCTGGTGGCTGTAAATGCTGTGTTTGCTGCCGTGTCTACTCCATCCTGTGCACCATCCTGTACTTGGTCGGGCCATTGTTGGAATGATGTATGCACCACTTGGGATGATTGCGATGGGGATATGATTTGTATAAATGGACGATGCGGTACAAATAATTGCCCACCGTCAATCAGCACCGCTGCCCCGGTACCTACTGGTTCTCCCGGGTCATTTGGCTCGAACACCACGACAACTGTGCAACGGGTGCTCATCTTGACTACCACTACCGCGGACGTTGAAGCCCCAAAGACCACATTGAACTCTTATGGAATTCCCTATACAATCTTGCCCATTCCCCAGGCTGGATACCCCGGATTGCTCCCTCTAGAGGATGCCCAGGGCAATGCGCTATTCTCTTTGCTGATTATTCAGCCAGGTCAAGTGCAATACGACTATTCCGGAGTATGGAGGTCCGCCTTGACAGATGCGCAATGGACGCAAATCAAAAGGTATGGGTAGATGAAGTTTTATCTACTACGGCACATTGAAGATACCCGAACATGGACGTATAACTAAAAATGTAATCGTTTGACCGCAGTTTTGAGATTAAACACCGAGTGCGCCGGATCACTCTGGATGACTCCCCAGTCCCAGAGCATGGTGTAGTCATAGCCAATCCCACGGTCTTCGGATGCTGTAACGCCGGAGTACATACCAGCTCTCACTTGTAGCATGTCGACAGCAGAGACTCACTCATGTCACCTTTAGGTGACCCAAAACTTAAAAATCAAACTGAATCCAGAATTGGTGAAATCCGGTGTCGTGGACGGAGCATCAGTGGCGACCACTGGTGCGTACGACTTGGAACGCCTGGGATGTTAATGCCATTATGCGCATCCTAACACTACTCATAGGTCTCTTTCACTACCCTGTGACTGTGACAAATACCGCTACAACGACGGCATTTGCACTGCTCGACCCCAGCTCTGACCAAAGTTTCCCTACACAAACTGCTGTTGGCGTGGTACGTTCTTGTTTTTAAACAAATTCACGTTTACTAGCTCATCGCAAACTTCAACCGCTCGAAGATCATAAATTACCCCGATGGACGGCAGCAAATGGCTTTCTACATGGCATTTGGTATAGCGAAAGACCAAGAGTACATTTCAAGTAATGCCAATGAAAAAGCTAATGGAAAATCTACTTTTAGGATGGTGGTCCACGACATCAATGTGGCTTGGTCACATATATGTATCTTGGGGAAGTCGCCAACTATATCAAGGATTTCGGCGTATTTACTTGTCCTTGCAGGTAAACTATCCATTGATGCTCGCATTGGCCAGGCACTTTTTACGACAAATATTCTCGATTAAGGTGGACGATCTCTTCCTTTCTACCCAAGTTTCTACCACCCTCGACTATCGCTTGACTACAGCTGACGTTAGTGGAGTTATTGCATGGCAAAACAACATTAACACCCGGCTCCCTGCTGGTTCAAAGTTGAAGCTTCTTCTCGGGTACAATGGCAATGGTGTGGTGGCACTGGTTGCCCCGAATCTGGACCCAGATCTCCCAGAGTCAGAACCGAACTATGCATTGATTAAACCACTTGGCACGGGTACCAACCGTTGGCCTGCAAACGCAGCAACTTTCAAAACTTTCACGGATGCAATGATGCGAAAAGATGCTCTATACACCAACATGCTCAAGACTACCAGTATCAGAGATGCTTTCTTCTGGTGTAGTCACACTTACACTCACGAGGGCCTTGATGATGCAACGTGAGGAGTGCATATACTTGCAGTTACCCCAACACAAACGTATTCACACTCTTCTTACAGTCGTTACGATGTTGATAACGAACTCTCGTTCAACATCCAGTTTGCAAAACTCTCTGGCCTTTACACTGCAGCCGTTCACTCCAGCAAGTCAATGATCACTCCCATGGTGGGTGCTGATCCCCTTGTATGAAAACGCAAGTTGCGCATATTGGCTGAATGAATAACAATCGTAGATCACCGGTTTGCACAACGGCGACGCCCTAGCATCCCTTGTTGCCAACGGTATTACGTCTGTGGTCGGAGATACCACTCGCACAGATTGCACAAATCAGACCTACCCGTACCACCCATGGATTAGTACAACGGCTAGCTCAAACTATAACGGCTACACAGGTAGGGTATCCAGTCGGCGGCTCCTAAGTGTTACAATTGATCTCATTGCTGGTTGGATACAGTCATCCCACGCCAGGCCACTGTGATCTACTTCAACTGCAGCACTCCGGCGCAAGACATTGTCTTGTACAATAACATGTACCAGGCGGTTCAAGGTGTAAAAGACTGGAACTATCTGCTATATGACTATGAGACGGAGCGCGTGGTTGCTCTGCTCATGCAGCTCAGGCATGATGGATACATGTTTCACCAGGTCGGTTGGCTGCCAATGCTCCTTCGCTTTCAACATGGTCCCCGTCTGGCGGTTAGATCCTGACATGTACACACTGCAGGCAAATCTGCGGAACGCAGATCTCCCCGCCGTCACTATGAAATATGGTGGACAAACCGGCAAGTTCGGCTTGCTGCAACAATGGACTGAAAGCGTCATTGGTCGCTTCATGCAGCTTGTGAGATGGCCGATCATCTCACCCCACATGGATGGTGGGTTCTCTTTTGTTTCCTTGGCCTGTACACGTCTCAAATCTCATCTCATGTACGTTCAGATCACACAACTGCCTTCTTGGACCGTGTAAAACGCGATGCTTGCAACGCTGCAGTTACTTTAACCAAGAATGCGACCCACTTACTTGGCTTTTCCGTCCGAGCTGCTGGATCTTGCACGGTGCCAGTGAGCGTCCCGGGACCAGTAGCAAAAGATTCCAGCAATGCAGACTGTAAGTTTGAGCAGCTGGGTATTGATCCGCTCACAGTCTGGGTTCCAGTAGCTGCCAATGCTGCGGCACGGACATTTGCGTTTGCTCCCGCTGTCAAAATGTAGCTGCCTCAGACCTAGAGCTGACATCTTAAATATAAGACATTGAGTTGCTGAGAGTACATTGCCCTTTTTCAATGGCCGTGCCAGCGTACCAAAAGCTTATTTAAACTATCAAGTAGATAATCACTTGCTTGTCCATATTCTTTACATGATGCCATCCATACAATGATTCACCCATTAATGTACCTTACACAATAATTTTAGGACAAACTACAGAACCTAACTATACTGGATGTTTTGACTTGCAGCCGACACATTTCGGCTAGTAGACTACCATCAACATCGCTAGCGAACTTACACTGCATTTCATTTCCGTCCTTTCAGCTCCGTCGTGGCGTGAGCAATTGCCCAAGCCATACAATTTAAGATCTGCCCTATCAATACTAGTGAAAATATCCGTCCTTCACTACCCTTACCAGTCACTTGTAGTAAGCAGTTTCAATGCTCCTGCTCAGTTCCGCGGTTGCCTTTACACGTGAAGCATATCCTATATATAGCACCATTCTGGGATTACCTCAGGATTGCAAGATACACGAGCATCTTATTTTCTGACGACGCTGCTCTAGCACTTCCTTGGGAAGCGCTTGCATTACCACATTCGCGATGACGGATTCTCCGAATCCAGGTTCGCCGAAAGTCTTGGGCGGGCAACGTGGCGGTCCTGCGGCTGCATCTACGCCCTTTTATCGCGGATCGGCTGCAAGCTTGCCAAATCTAGCCGTACCATCTCCTTTAGGAAGCCCGGCCCCCCAAAGACGCAATGCCACGCATGCCGACAATTCAACCTCGAATCAAGCGAGCGAGGTTGACTTGCAGGCACCGAGAATTTCTGATTCCAATGATGTGTCCACCCTCCACTCGAGGCGAAGAAGTTCGCTACATTCCATCAAATCCCTGTTCGCAAAGCCCAAGCTCTCCACGGTTCTCGATCGGCTCGGATATGCAACTTCTGAAGGACTTTTCTTCGATTCCTCCAATTTTAATGCCACCAAGATCACCAGTTTTGGCATGTATTTAGCTGAGGATGTCAGTGATCTAATCACAAAGCCAGAGGAATGGAAACCTGTTGATCTATTGGTCTTGAAATTCGAAGCACTTCGTGATCTACATGCCAGTCCACTGGGAATAAAGTTGGCCCAAGAAGAAGACGTGGAGGAGCCTGCATCGAATAGGGAACCTGAGGAGAACAGAAGCAGCTCCAATTCTGTTGTCACTGACGTACGTAAAAATGCTTTCACGGTCTCCTGGTGTAATTGAAAGAAGGGATCTTATATGGCGTATCCTAATATTGAGTATGATTTAGTCGACAGGAACAACTCTCGACGGTCGTAGGCGTCGATCATTCTCGTCTGAGAGCATCCGGTCTGTCTCGTCAAAGAAGAGCACTATTTCACGAGTTTCTAAGCTCTGGCGCTCGCGGTCCGCAACTTCCCTCGCTAATCTCGCTGATGGACCACCTTCAGGTCTACCTGTACCCCTTTTTGATACCTTTCGCCGTAGTGTTCTTCGAAGAATATCGCATCTTATCCTGTCAATAGACGTATGTGAACTTTATCGGCTATATTCTCAAACTGATCGAGGGACGGCCTCGAGTTTCACGCGATTTTTAGTGTCGTACCTCGCCGCAGGTCTAGCTACGATGCCCAGTCCAATTTCTGGGTTTCTCTTCACTGGGTTAAGGGAATGGATTTTACTTCGGAAGGGCAACCCAAATAAGGTGGAGAAGCTTTTGAATGCTATTCGGGGAACAAAGGATGTGGGGTGGTCGGTACCGCTGATTTTCGTCGATGAGTATGGGATGAATGTATGGGATGACCTACGGGACATAATCAACGGAGTGATGCTTACAAACATCTTTTTCGACACCGACGGGACCCGAAGAATTATGTTTGGGTGAGAGCTTTTGCAGAATGATTGCTCATCTGTCTCACATTACTTAGCATTGGTTCTGAAAACTAGAGCAGCGAGGTCATGGCTGACAAGTTTAACGACCAAGCTCTCCCTTGAAATATCTCTGCGAAGCGATTTCTTGGTACTAAATACTGAAATGGTTGCCTGCCCTCCACAGCAGTTGCCTGCAGCCCTAGTGCGTGCACATATACACTGGGCCGGAGGACTAAATTTTGTTGCATGGTACTCTGGAAGCTCACGATTTGACGCCCTGGCAGACGTTCAACCACCTGCATATCGCGACTTGGGGGAGGATGGTATTTTTGAGATGACAAGTCATGCAGACATACTCCGTTGTCGCGACATAGTGGAGGTCAACGTATCGTCTCTTCGAAATAAGGGTCCTTATCGAATTACAGCGGATCTTTGGAACCGTATTTTTAACGATCTATCTGATATCCCGAACGACCTTATTGATGCTTTGGGCGACTGGATGGAGGGGTGTGAGCAGTGGTCGGAATTCGATGGCGCAATCTACTATAAACCTTTGCTGCCTGAACTGCCATGTTATCTAGAGATTGACCATTGCCCCTCCCGTGAAGACAATTCTGGAAGTTTGAGTGATGCCATCCCTGATGCAGCACCTTCTGTGACATACTTTGGAGTGGATTGGTATGGTTACAGCAGGCGAACAGCTGTTGCTAATGCCATCCAGAGCGTTATGTTCGAGCTCCTGGATAAACAGCTTCTGGCCTCGGCCCGATACAATATTGATCTCAGCGATCAAAAAAACCCTTCAAAAGAGCCCCTTGCACAATTTGACACTCTTATAAATGTCCTCGCTGGCATTATAAATAAACCGACAAATGCAACAAGGTGGGTCCTGTCACTGCCACGAGAAAGCTGCTCCGAGGCCATCATCGCTGCAGTTGCCGACCTCAAGAGTGACTTGCTGGACGAGCGAGCGCAGATCTGGCTACCGACCAAAGCGGCACTTTTGGCAGGTGTCAAGGATCGGTCCCCGAATGTTCCTGTTTGGGCTGTGGCGGGAGTGCGAAATGGTACATTCCATATGTTTATCTCGGACAACCATCCGCAAATCGGCGAAGCGGTCTTGCATTTGTATTTAAAATATAGATACGGATGGTCGACAGGTCAATGTCTATTGGCAGAAACGCTGATCAGGTACGAAAGCTTTCATTGTGCACACTGTTGAGACGGGATGAATGATCCTCATCACCACGCCTATACCTAGCGCCCAGCGGCGGGATTTGTCAGATCTTAGCTTGCCTTGCCCCGCCCGACTCATCTATCAGATTGATCATGCCTGCCCTTCTCAACTTCTCACCATTGTACGCGACGGCCCGAAAGCGCTAAAAGCGTTGGCAGTAGACACTCGGCTAAGCAGCGGAGAAATCTCCTTCTTATCTGCACTGTGTCGGTACTTTAGTGTTCGATCCGAGTATTGGTTAATCGATCACAAACGTAAGTGCCAACCGTCTCTTGCTCATTTGGAAGGAGTAATAGGGAGTAACCGACATTCTTGCATGTAGGATACCTTGACAATGTGAGATGCAACCTTGCTGACGGCTACGTACCTCGCAACGCGTTGGAAATGAGAATGGGACGCTATGTATCCCAGTGCACTCTTGACAACAATGGTGGTAAACGTCTTCTTGCGGTTGCAAGAGGTATAACTTCTGAGTTACGAAAGAGAGGTGGGACGGTTCCTGTGAGTCCTGTTCTGGGCGGGCCAGGGGAGCTCTGGACACTATGCTATTTCTTTATGGTCTTCTGGAAAGCAGTGCGGCGAAATGCATACGAGGAGATTTTAGTGGCTCTCGAAGCCATGAATCCGATGTTCCTGCCTGAACGCGATCAAGTTGCGGTAGCTCTGGAGATGATAACTACAAACAGTAATCTGGTTACAATCTTTGGGATGAACAGTTTGTCAATGGCGGGTGCGCTACATCCACTGCTGAGGAAGGTGGCGGAAAGGGAGAAAAACAAAAGCATCCCGCAGGTCATGGAAACACACAAGGATGTAGAGGAAGCGACCACGCTGCAAACGGCAGTTTTCGAACCTGACGATGAATCAGCCGAGTTGTCTACGGTAGCTTTCGGGAAGAGCATTCTGAATGCATACATATTTGTTTATCCCATACTACTGGACATCATACTGGTTGTAACACTGGGTTCAGGTATCTTTGCGAGCGACAGGATGAGCGTCGACGTCCAAGAAAGCGCAAGTCTTGTTCTTCTTGGTAAGGCACCATTATGCGCTATTTAACACTCTTTTCTCACGCACGAAATCTTCCATCAAGTAATGTTTCCGATAGTCGGTGCCGTCATGAACTCGATCGGGCGAACGGTTACTTACTACTTCTATCAACGAAGTATCCCTGTAATGATTGCCGCATTTTACCGTCGGCTTGCCGCTGCCTGCCTCCTATTCACGGTATTTGGCATCATGCTTGGAGGTATAACATACTATCGAACGGATGACCTGATCCTTGCTGGACTTACCCTCGTCTACGCAATTTCCTTTGGGTGAGCATTTGTATTCTATTTCATTCTGACGACTGCTTGCTGAATCTTCTTGAAACCAGACTATTTATGATACTCTTTTGTGTGCTCATCATAATGCGAGACCCAGAAGAGTACTTTTTTAAATCACAAGGGCCGGCAGCTGTCATGAAAATGCTCCCAATCTTAATCCCAAATGCCTTTATCTGCCGTTTTGTCTTGAACGCTACTATTAATCCTTACATAATTTGGTCCATGTATGTGGGTTCCCTCATACTTTCAACAATCTACATGACATACTCGTACACGCGTATAGCGGCAGCATACCTTCGGTGGCCAGATGCGATCCATATCACACCAAGGGAAAAGATACTGGAGGCTTACGGGAAGCATCACCCTCCGCCGGAGCTACAGGCAAAGGAAGACGTATACACTTTCGGGCGGCGAAGTCGCAGATGGGAGCGTTTTGCTACGGAGTGGTTCAGCTCACAAGCGGAAGAAGCTCTGCGTACTAGAAGCAGGAAAACCGAACCTCTTGTTCGTAAGCGGCTTTCTAGTTGGTTCTGGGAAAAGCTCTTGATGGGCTGGTATATTCCGCGATCAGGGATCAAGCCACCAAAGCCATTTTCAAGCGAATGGGATAGCGTGGTTAAGCAAGCGATTGCAGAGTTGAAGAAAAAGTATACCGTCGAAAAGATCAATCGCGGTGGAATCTTGTTTGACAATGAGCTACCTGCAATATGCTTTGGCTTTCTATATTTCTTTACCCTTTTTGCCGATCGATGGACGGTTCTCATTGCATCTGGAAAAGCACTGTTCTTCTTCACAGACGGCATTGAAAGCGATTACGTGCAAGGAACGTTGGCCGGAACTATCTACCTGCTTTTGTCCTCTGGGATCTTGGAGCTTACTCTGACCAAGTTTTACGAAAAGCACAAGCGTATTTCTATGAGGTCCGTTGCTGAGAGCGAAGGGCCAGACGATATCATCACACGTCATCGAAGAGCCCTTTCAAAGATATACGCTAGTGAACTATGCCGCTTCCTTGTGTTCAGCGGCCTTATCCTCATTATTACCACGGCATGTGTAATTACGATCGGCTTCAAAGATGATCGCATGGATCTTATCTACACGTACGCTCTATCGGCCTTTGGGTTTGCCGGGTTACTTCTTGGGCTATTCACCAAGTTGTTTGTCACATCCTTGGAGTCGACTGTCAATCTATTTTTAACAATCGCGATAGTCATTAGCATTGGCGGAGGTGTCGCAGCGGTCCGCATTCTGGCGAGTAGTGAATATGCCGTGATTGCCACGGCTGCGAGTGGATGGCTCTTTGCACTTGGGTGTATCGCGAGTCGATATAGTGAAAAGCTCCGCAGCGTTCACTATAAAGTCCAAGTTTGTAAGTGATATCTTCAAACATTTGGCAATGGTAACGATACTCATGAGATGTTATGCTTTAGCTCCTGCCCTTACCTCGTCTGGGCAGCGGCATATTGGCCACCATACTACTCCTGCAACTGACAAAGCTCGCAGCCTGCTCGCCGCAAAATTGATAGCAAATAGGAAGAGCTGCCAAAAAATCCGACCATCATCCTCTCTTGGGGATTCCATACGTTCCCGTCTGCAGTTTATTTTGGAGACGATGGGCGGTCTACCACCGTCGCACCTATTACGAACTGCTGTTCCGTCTATTTCATCCTTGATTGAAGACCTTTTATCTGATTTCAGGTTAGGACAACTAAAAGTTTTTAGATGCAAAGAGGCGTTGCAACCAGCTGGCATTAGACATGCTGCCATCTCAGCGCGGCCGGCGGCAGTTACCCACCTTCTGTACGTGTTCCTCCCACCTAAAGACAGTGAAACGGCGGATGAAGAGGACCTGGCTATCATTTTGGAGGCCTTACTTCACGAAATTGCCGAAGCAAAGGGCATGTCCCACGCTGCTGCTTGCATCTCCGAGATGTTTGTGGGAATCTCCACCGCATGGCTGAAAGAAGAAAAAACAGACTGGATTCGGAATATATTCCCTTCAAGGATAAAGCGCCAATTGCGGGTCGCAGATGATGGAGAAAAGGCCTCGATGTGGTGCAAAACCAAGGATGTTGTGGCATCGAAGGCTTGTTTGAATTTAGAAGTAGATGAGATCTGGAATCGTAAGATATCCCATCAAGATCGCGTTTTCTTAGTGGGTGTTGCTCGACTGTGGTGGGATTCGTTTGATGAATCCATACAGGTAAGTAACGTTCCCATTAGGATCATGGTTCTTCGTGCTAACTTCTCTTTAATAGATTGGTGCCTTGCCACGTAACTTGGCAAAATATCTGGACACTGCGCCAATGTCCATTGTAAAGTTACTCTCAGCGAAATGTGGTGATAAACAGGAGATCGACTTAAAGGCCCACGCATCCCAATCCATATTAGCGTCACTCCTAGCTCTGAACATTCAAAAACTCTACGACGCAGAAAGCGACAAACTTGAACGGGCTTTCTCAGCTCCTAGCAGTCTGTTGCCCCAGCGACACTATTCGCCCACGACCTGGACCCGCTTTTTCAGTCTTGCTTTAGACATTCAGGTTTCGCTGTTTTTGGCTCTCACTGCGGATGAACGTTTTGGACGTGAAGTCGCGTCCCATACGCTTCTATTGCGTCTTCCTTGCGCACTTGTTAATTGGATGAGTAGGGGCTTATTGAACACATTGCAGCATGGAACGCTGTATCGTTGGGATCCTGCGATAAACAATACCTTGAAGCAAATGGAGCGTGGACTCTCACGCATCCACCATCATGGTCGCTCTATGAATGGTCATCATGGTGTTTCGTGCGTAGAAACGTACCATGGAGCTACGCACACGATCGTCGCTGTAGTGACAGGACGTGAGACAAATGCTCAATCGGGAAGAGATTGGCTAACTGTGGATCGTTATGCTCTTGGGGGACCAAAACCGCCAAACTGGAAACCTGGTGGAATGAAACCAGTCAGTCGAGCCTTCTTTGAGGAGGTGACTATAAAACACAAAAAGACGCTCCGTATTGCCCACGAGCATATTTTCGACAACAACGGGAATACGTGCAAGAGTCATGTTTATGTCTATCGAGACCCAACGTCCATCGTTGCCCAACATCGATACGTTGTCCCAAAAGCTGTGGATTCGAAGCAATGGAAGAGCAGTGACGTTAGCACAGTTGAAGGCACAGACGAACACACATTTTCGCAGTTGCATGGTAATGTTGTTGTGACAGAGGCAACTCTACGCCGCAAGGATGCAGGAACCGGAAAGTGGGTCACAATACAAGCAAAGTATGAGTACAACGACAAGAACAAATGGGGAACACCAGATCTTGCAGTTTTCCACGGAGCCTATCCATCGCCATGGAAAATGATAGTGGAGTATGCCAAATCTTCACGAGGAATCCAAGATTCGCCCAGGTTCATATCCGTAGAAATACAGCGAGAGCACGAACGTGCAGTAGTACGTACCAAGTTTGATTACTCTCATCCTCAGCATGTTCGTCATAAGAGCATCCGTGTCATACCGGGTGAAACTGATGAAGTTATCGTTGCAACACCTCCCGAAATTGAACAAGATCCTCTTAGTTTGCTCAGTACACAGGCACCTGCGAGCCTGTATTCCAGTTCAGAGTTTTTTGTGTCCGGCTTAACCTCCAAACATCGCAAAAGCTATACGCTAAAGTCTCCCTTTGGAAAGTTGGAGCGTATCGAGTATTATTCTGCACCCTACCCTACTCTTCGACGAAGGGAAATTCTTTGGGCTGCTTGGCGGAGGGGCGACGTACCTGCACCTTTTGCCCGAGATTTAGATGAGCGATTCTTGCGTGCTGAGCCGCTCCTCTCCGCGTATTGGTGGAGACGGGATGCGGGACAATTTAAAGGCGCTCAGAGAGTGCTACGGGAGCAGAAACACAAATTAAGCGCAGAGCTGCAAATGCTGGATCGGCCTGTGACAAGGACGCATCTCCAGATAAGGTATTCTGATCTGTACATCTTGGGTTGCGGAGGTGATGCGCACAAAATCTATGCAGAGGGCGATCTGGATGAGGAAAACCGACACTCCATTCGCCAAAGTATACGGGCAAATCGAGCGAACGAACTTTTACAGGTTATGAACCTAGACAGTGGCACATGGCCAACGGGTGGTGGAGGAGTGGGGTCCTGTCGACGTGATTTGATTCACGGTCTTCACCGTGTTCGCTGGACGGCCGTCGCGGAACTGGGTTCGGCAGAACTCGTTCAAAAGGATTACCCAATTGAAAAACACATTGACTCCATTGCGTACGTGCCTCTTTGGGATCTTGATTTTGGAACACCCAACGAGAATATTCATCGAACAATTCCGTACACCACACTGCAAGCAAAAAGTCGACGGACGACTAATCATGTTGTCAAAACCCAATTTGTCCCTTTGATTGAAAAGCTTATCAAGGGTTGCCTTCTTGATCCGATCACTGAGCATGATGTTGATGAATTTGCAAAAGTCTTTATAGATTTTCACATATTCTTTCTGCAGTACGACTGGACAACTGCATGGAACCATGTTCTTACTCAGGAAGCTTGGATCAGAGGATGGTTGCAAGATACATATGAGTTGTGGAGTAAAGGACAGCTCCTGGATCCGGAAACGCCAACATTGCGGCATATCGAAATGATGTTTGATCTCATTGCCCGTTTGCTCATGCCTCTCACGGTGGAGATTCCCGCAGTCCCTGTCGTGCATGCGTCACATCACGGAATCCAGGCGATTATTGGGGTCGTTGCAAAATCGCTGCATGGAAGTTCCCTGATTGTGTGGGATCATGGGATCTTGTGGAGAGAACGATTGTTTGGGTTATGCACAGATGAAGCTATGCCCAAGTTTGTCCAAATTGCCTTTGCCGGGATTACAAGGCTAGTGGCCAGGGTTGTGTTTGCCAGGTATGCTCTGTCGTCCAATTGAGCGCTGATATGATTTTGGCTAATAGATAAGCGCTTGTTATAGGGCGGACTACATCACCCCGTGCACTAGCGTGCAAAATGTTCACTGGGAAGCTTGGTTGGCAGGAGGTAACACTTAGCAGTCGAGAATATCATTTATGATAAAACAATTAACACCATTGATTTTCCCGTAGGCAAATATGGGAATGCACTTGAAGCGGCATCCATGTATGCGAGGATTAATCCCGTCTTAAACGGCATGGACGTTACAAAGTTCCATCCTGATCCCACACAAGAACCAAATGAACCCACTGCCATTATGCTCTCACACATTTCTCCGGTCAAGGATGTAATGAATGCCATCAATGCAGCGCGCATCATTGTGCGAGATTTCAAACTTGATACGTATCGATTACACATTTACGGATCAGCGGAAAAAGATCCACCATATACGACCGAGTGCGTACGGGCCATTGCCAACTACGGTCTTGAGAAGCATGTTATAATGAAGGGCCTGGGTAGTCCTTCCAAAGCTCTACCAACTGGATCCATCTTTGTCAATTCATCAATCACAGAAGGCCTTCCTCTCGCCCTCGGAGAAGCGGGTCTTTGTGGTCTACCAGTAGTTTGCACAGACGTAGGAGGAAGCCGCGAAGTCATTCAAGATGCACGTGTCGGAGAAACATATGGCTGGATTGTCCCTCCGTCCAGACCAATGCAGCTCGCGCTCGCTCAAATGCGGGTATTGACTGTGACGGATGGTGTTGCAAACCAGACGACCAAACTGGACGACATTCTGGGTGCCGAAGACGACGGTGCTTCGCTTGCAGCTAGAATCATGTATCCTGGAGTGAGGGAGATGCGAAGAAAGCTTGGAATGAAGTTGCGCGAACGGATCATGGCTGTTTTCTCTGTTCGTAGATATTGGAGGGAACATGAGCAGATCCTCTGGTTGGGTCCTCTGTACGAGCAGGTGAAGAGGTCAGAATTACCTATTTCTTGATTATCATTGCGCTGCAACTACAATATTACACATACTACCCTACTGGAATATCTGGATGTGCATACTGGCTGGGTACTATATTATCAGCCCAGGCCTTCATAACTTCCATACTCTTTTAAAGTCAAGATCAGATAACACGCCAAAATCGGTCAGTTGCAAGGTGCAGTAAATTGCATAGTATCATATATCAATGAATGGTGCGGTGTCTCCTCATGAAGTCTCCCGGTCTTTAATATGGACAAGGACTCCCTTCTTGTATCCACATGTTATGCCATCGACGGTCCAAGAAAAGTCTTGGTCAGGGAGCAAGGTCATCGAGAACTCTTGGAGAATCCGAATGAGAATGATCTGCATGCCAATAACAGATGTTTATGTCACCGGATTTTCGTTTAGCAGCCAAGATATGACAATACCGACCTTGACTTCAAGTACAGCCATCTTCCAGCCAACGCACATCATAGGACCAGCACCAAACGGGAGGTACGCTGCGTCCGATGCCTCATCTCTAGCTTCCTCCCATCGTTCAGGTCTGAACTTTTCGGCATCAGGTCCCCAGTATCGTGGGTCTGTCTGCATGCCTTTGACGTTCAAAATTACAGGAGACTGAAACATCACATGGTTATGGCTTGACGCAACCGACACCAGAGCAGTAGCGAGATACTCACGTTCTTTGGAACAAGGTGGCCAAGGATGACCGTATCTTTTGTCAGATTCCGACCAATCATAGCAACGGGGCCGCTGACTCGGAGCGTTTCCTGAATGTGAATGGTTTGTACATGATATGAAACACGGATACGAGCGACACCTCTCAGTACTCTACGGAGTTACTGACCTTTACAACTAATTCCAGATACCTAAGATACACATGTGGGTTAGTAGACTGCTTGCAGACAGGGGAGAAGAAACGACAGAACATTACTTGAGAGCATGGACATTCTCCCACGTAAGGACGCCGTCTTTTCCAATGACTTGATCGATTTCATTGAGCAGCTTTTGAAGAGAAGCAGGGTTCTGCATGAGATGGAATAAGCCTGCTGTAGCGGCGTTCGACGATGTTCTATAGAGGAGAGAAGCCTTTGTTAGGGAGCATATGAAAAGGTACGTATTTCAAGTACACTCTTACTCATGGCCTGCCTGTAGAGTTGGAAAGGTAAATTGAATACAACCGTATTAGTAGACATGAAATGTATGAAAATGAAATGTAGCACTTGCCAAAATAAAGCCGATAATCTCATCCAGCAGTTCTTCTGTGGTCAAAGGCTCAGCGTCTCCATCTGACCCCTGCGTTAAGAGTTTATCCAGAACATCCATCTCCTTCTTATCAAGGCTGTCGCCGATAGTTTTTAATTCCTTCCGCCTCTTTTCCATAATCTCCATCGCAACTTGTCGAGTAACCGTGGAAGGACGTTTAATTTCTTCCTTACCCACGCCCAACAGTGGCCAAATCCACTGAGGCAAACCCCAACGGTCGCCAGCGGCTTGAACAAGGTATTCAAAAGCAGTTACTTGTTCGGTCTTGTAGTTTGTGGTTTCTGGGGTTCCAAGCATGGCTAAAGAATTGAACGAGTAACCCCCTAGCGCAACAGCGCCTACAATATCGAGGGTGAGGCATTGCATATGGTGATGCAAATTGACAACGGGAGGTGATGAAGGAGACGCCGAGATAAGGGAACGCCAGGCTTTAACCAAACCGTCGGTGTGCTGGACTGATTCTGCAAATATCTTTCGTAGATGGAAGGGGCTGAAAGCCGGGGCGACCAACTTCCTGTGGTATTTCCATTGGGAACCACTGCAAGCGACAGGGTTAAGCGTTTGGTGATACAGTAGATTGACAATACCCGCTCAAACCTGGGTAACATGAACAATGCGTGCTCGGCGATGCCAATTGCAGCCTTTTGGAAGGTATTATCCCGATAAGCCAACTGAGTGTCCGTCAGTATTTTACGAGCCTCCTTGATGTCGCAAATAACAGGTGTGAACGCTCCCAGCATATTGAGATTGAAAATTGGACCTTTTTTTAAAACAAAGCATGATTAACGGCGATCCATTAGACTCGTACCCATCCGGGATCGCTCACCCAGTTGCTTTTGCTGGTCCACAATAAATTTGAAGAAGCGCTTGCCATCTAGATATGGCCGAATGAGGAGAGTGCTTCCGATAATGGGTAACGATCCCTCGGGATTTGGGATGGTTGAACGATATGAGAAAAGGAGTTTCCATACAAAGATGGACAAAAAGAGAATGCCTATGGCCATAATAGGGGCGCTGGCTGGCACGACGATGAGGGCTTCTGGGGAGGCCATGATTACCGAGCGACCAAAAGGTTCAACAGATAGCGATTTTATGCAACAAATGGAATATCACTAAAAGATGAACGATAAACCATGTGGGGGGAAATGGAGGTTTCGGAGGTCTTTTTATGGTTTTCAAGTGCTTGTGACATAAAGTTTAAGATCGGCATGTGACTGATATTCTTCTTTAACCCTTGCCTTGATCCCCAACGCCCACGATGATATTCTTTTTGTCTCCAACCGTGAGGCAATTTGCAGGAAATCAACCGTTGGAAAAACGCCCGTTGCTAAAGGCTGTCTACGTCCATTCGCTCAATTCATTCAATTCATCATCCATTGCCATGTGTGTGTGTCCATCTGCTCCGCTTCCGCTTTAAAAGCGTTATATTTCTGTCTTTGGTTGTTGCACTGATTGTTGCAAGTCATAATAAAAATATCACACTTGCCAAGAGTGTTCATGTGACATATTTCTCTCTCTCGGACTTCCGTTCGGAGAATGAATGTCCGACCATTAGTGACGTGTTTCTTTTGCATTGCCATTCCCCCCCTTTCAACAATGGGATCTACTGAGCGGATTTCTCCTTTTTTGTGTTGTCTTTCAAGCGGGATGATTTGCCACTGTACGCTAGACCAAGTGGCAGGTTTACTCTGCTGGCTGGCACACTTTTGACACGAGAAGGCCATGAGTCTCTTCAGTCTTCAGATGCTGGCTACTCTGATTTGTATTGTTATGCCAAAAAGATATCCGATATAGATCTTGCAAGGACGCTAGCTCAGCGCCAGAAAAAAAGCAGCGGTCACAATCGTGATTGCCAAGGCCGAGAATCGAACTCGGGTCGACGCGGTTCTGTGTTTCCACAACGCGATGTACTACCACTATACTACCTTGGCAGATGTTCTTTCAACGAGCAACTCGGTATGTCAAGATTGTCCAAGAGTTCCCTTCAAGCCTTACTAAATCGGTAAGATGTAAACTGCGTAGAATATCCCTATATGTAAAACACTATATCCGTACAAGTAACCCATAATTTCCCAAGTAAACCTCAACCTGCACCCAATCGCCTTCCTTGAATCAGTGCTGGTCGTAACTGGTGTTTCGGTTGATTGTCTCGTTGCTTGTAAAGCCTTGCCTGTCAGAGATTCCTTGTGCAAGCTGTAAATGTTTAGACCATCGTTCCAATTGTCATATCCATAAAGCTAGCAACAGTTCTCTGGTAAGATGATCTTTCCAAGGCAGTCTCGCCCATGTTGGAGTAGATTCCTCCATTGGCATTATGGCTTGCTTTAGAATATTTACGGTTACATTGGGGGTTTACATCTTTGGGTCAGAAGCTGATCACACGTATTGATGATCAGATTTACCAAGTTGGGAACGCCGACTTTTGACAGCTGCAACGCAGAGGAAAGCCCCGGAATTCCTTGGCGCAATAATGCGGGGAAATGACTTCTTATCTGCTCAGCAAAAGCGTCTGATGGAAAACACTGGCTAACGAGGAAAGATAAAAGGGCTGAATTGCCAAAGTCTTCTCGCTATCCACATACCTGCGTCTTCTATATCTTTTCATTCGGTCGTCAACTTTCCATGACAATCATCTCGTTCCAAATGAGATTGCAACTCTGCTCGTAGCTTGTTGTTCACCGCAGACCAGAACAGAAATAGCTTGGCTGAATCCAGTTTTAGTCGTTCAAAGTTTGGTAAGTTGAGCATCTTGCCGCTATCAGGTCCATGGCCGGAAGATTTTTGTTCTTTGGTCGATCCATGCCATAAAGGAACGCTTTGTGACTTTCTCTGAGTCCTTATCGAAATACTCGTCTTTAAGAACCAACTACCTCGCTCCGTTCTTAACCACGAATACTTTGACAAGGACTCCGAACGAGTGATCGATCGATCATTCCTGGCTTGGGGTCGAAAGGAAAGACAAGAACCCGCGGCTATGGATTTACTACGAGAGTTCCTGCTGGTGGTCGTTTAGAACGTTCTGTTTCATCTTAGGATCTAACCCTCCTTTGCGTTTTCCGTCAACCATTAGGTCGTAATCCCATCGGTTAAGTAGGAGAGGTTAACCGTTCAGCCAACGACGGCTACATCAAACAGACCGGACACCGTATTCCGTTCCTGTTAGCTGTTCGTTGACAAAGTCGATCCAAAACCGTTGACAAAATTATGCTTGGTAGGTAAAGGTAACCATAGCTTCCGGTACCTACTCGTCCCAGTACGTTTACTGACAGTTTTCTTTTCGCTTGTCTTTTCTCTTGTTTGGCTCTTGCCCCTGAGTGTCCACGAAGGGAGCACCACTTATGGCCACTTATTTAATCGGTCCGCCTGAGCCACGACCACCAAATAACTCGACATAAGTAGGGCTCCCTTCATGTAAATTCAAGGGCAAGAGTCAAGGACGAGAGAAAGACGAACGAGACAGTAACCTGTCAATAAACGGCGACGACATCAAACAGTGCAAACGACTTGCAGTGTACGGGTGGGACGACAACAACCATCAAGGAGTTTAATCCACGGTAAACAAATAACTCGACAAAAGTGGTGCTCTCTCCGTCATGCAAATACGACAGTCGACGTTTTGGGCACACCTACACGGTGGTATGAAGGGGTCCCAGCTTACAACTCCTATGGACTTATTCACCGAACAAGCTGAGCAGTGGTTTGATCTCAATTATACTTCCATATAATGTAAGTAATAAGAGACTGTATCTTCTGTATTCTTCGGGTCTCTTCTGTCAAGTGCGTTGCACGCATCGGTTCACACATGTGTAGCCAGCATTTGGTCGATACGGGCTGTGCTAATTCTGCCCAGCAATGTGTGTAATCAGCTTCTTCTTAAACACTTGGCATATTGGACCAAATATCCGGACTGACTGGCCGTAACAAGTTTGTCCGCTGACTAAAAACAATATTGTACATTAAAGGGAAGGAACAAGCAACATAGAACAATTCCCTTTCCCCTCTCGTTCCAATTATTAGTGCCTCGTACGTACAAGTTTATACTGCCCAATGAAGCCCCAACACCGTATCACTGTTGCTTTTTCACTGCCGGGGGGCTAGCCGCACCACTGGCGGTACCCGTATTCCCACCAACGTTAGGGCCGTGCTGGTATGCGCCATGGTAACCATGAACAGGCATCACGCCACCCGGTATGACATTCGCTGCTGGTGTGTCGCCATTCCCTCGTCGTTTTCCAACCCCATGGCCAATAGCAGAGTCCCTAGCGGCGGCGGCAGCAGCAGCAGCCGCCGCAGCCTTCTCCTTCTCTTCGCCTAGTTGTCGCATCCACATTATATAATAGGTCCCTTCTCCTTTGTCTTCCAAGGCTCCGTTAATAGCTCCCGCAGCGGCTTTCGCCGCCTGTCGCCTTACAGCTTCTGCTCCGCGCTCCAGTAGGTCGGTATGGGTACCCCGTTCAACGATCTGTCCGTCTTTTAAGACCAGAATCAGATCTGCATCCACAATGGTGCTGAGTCGATGTGCAATGACCAGAGTTGTTCGATTTGTTGAAAGAGTGCGCAATGAATCCTGAATGAGTCTTTCTGTAGTGTTGTCCAGTGCTGACGTTGCCTCATCCAGTAAAATAATCGAAGGATTCTTCAAAATGGTTCGCGCGATTGCAATACGCTGCTTTTCCCCACCACTGAGCCGCAAACCACGCTCACCAACCTTTGTCTCGTACCCTGAAAGGCAAAGGAACCAACAGACCATATTAGTACCTTTTTCCTGTCGTGATATATTAAGCTTGGATTTACCATCAGGAAACGACATAATCCGGTCATGAATCTGCGCCGCCTTTGCCGCCGCTACAACTTCCTCATCGGTAGCATTGATGTTTCCGTATCGTATATTGTATCGAACCGTGTCGTTGAAGAGCACCGTATCCTAAATCAGATCTCAATAAGGGGGAGGTCATGTACATAACTGTTGCTTGGGTTCGGTACCTGAGGGACAACTCCTATGTGACTTCGCAGGGACGCCTGTTTTACGTTACGAATATCTTGCCCGTCGACCTTAATGGATCCACTTTGCAGGTCATAAAATCGGAAGAGAAGCTGTGTGCCCAAATATCAACCGTCTGTTGCGTTGAAGTAATGAAAGGCGTGCTGAACCTACCCGGAAAATGGTACTCTTCCCACCCCCTGAAGGTCCCACAAGCGCGACAGTCTTTCCAGGTGGTGCCTCGAAAGACACGCTTTTTAGTGCCGGCTGTCGTGGATCATACGCAAAAGCAACGTCCTCTATTAAATTTAAATGGTTTAGAAAAAATTTAGAAAGAGCCCTAGCAGAACGCCCACAGCAAAATACATACCGAATACGATTTTCCCTCCTTGGCGGACTGCCAAGTCCCTGGCGTTTGGTGCATCTTTAATAGATTTACCCTCTTCAAATAAATCCAACATCTTCTCCATATCAATAAAGTTCTGTTGAATGACGCGGTAGTATGTACCAAACCTGCAACGCATGGTGGATTATTCCCCGTCCCTACATGCACTCTGTCAAACATCCACGTACCAGTTCAAAGGTTGGTATAGTTGCAGCAAGTAGGTCAAAAAGGCCACAAAGTCACCAACAGTCAATTGCCCATCCGCAACCCGCTTTCCGCAGAGTAATAGTCCCGTCAACAAGCCAAGAGTAATAACCAAATTCTGCGCAGTGTTGAGGACATTCAGACTCGCGCTGCTTTTCCAGTCGGCCGCTTGAAAACGACGGATTGCCTCATCATACGCATTGACTTCCCAAGCCTCGTTGTTGTAGTACTTGACAGTTTCAAAGTTTAGCAGCGAATCGACAGCTTTGGCTCGGGAAGCACTATCAAGGTCATTCATCTCCCGACGGAACTTGGTTCGCCATTCGGTAATCCATATAGTGCAGGCGATATACAGGACCATCGTCACAAAAACGATCATGGCGATTGCCCAGTCAAACGTGATCAGAAAGACTATTACAGCAAGTCCAATGTCGACAAATACAGGTAGAATGTTAAATGCGAGGTAAGACAAGAGAGAACCGATAGATGACGTTCCGCGGTCCATGACTCGCAGTACCTCTCCTGTCTTGCGGTTTATATGGAATTGAAGGGACAGCGAATGAAGGTGCTCCAGCATTCGCACGGACACTTCCCGAGTAGTGTATTGTCCAACAGGAATCCAGAGGAAGTACTGTAGGGAGGAGAGTAAACCCACGCCACCTTGCAAAAACCGGAAGGCGGTATACAGAAGAATGGCACCCCAGCAAAAGTACGGACGCCGCTTGTTTGGATCAGTTTCCCCATTCGGCGTAAGGTCGTCAACGACTCGTTTATATTGCAGAGGCACCAGCACGTTAACGACTCGGCCCAGTGCGAGCAGAACGAAACAAAAAATCACCAGGAATTGCAAGTGCAAGGGTTTGGGCCAAAGGAAAGGCATTAACTTGCCAACCTTCCTCCAGGTGTCTTGCCAGGTTGAAGTACTCGCAGGTGTGTTTGTTGCCGGTACTGTCTGGACAGATTCGACATCGCTAGCGCGTTGATTAGGAGACATTCTGCCGACCAGGAGGGTGATAATAAGACCCAATAGCAACGCGAAGCGCATGACGAAAATGATGAAATATGTTATGTCTAGAGTTGCGTCAAGCATGGTCACTTCTATTGTGGAAATACACCAATTAGTCGACCGTACACATCTTCAGCATGTTACTTCGTCCATACCATCTAGCGGATGAGTCATAGCGACAATCCACTGGTAAAGCTGGACAGTCTCCACGATAAAGGCCAGTATCCAAAATTGTTTGACAGGCATCGGCACACGATCTCTCGGCATTTCATGCCACTCGTTTCTGTCCAGCGTCGCTGCAAAGAACACAAATGTTGACGCTATCAGCCAAGCAAACGAAGCCAGGACATCGGCGACAGTGCGCGCGGACAAATCTTGAATGATGGTGGTGGGCACTTCCGGATGGGTTGCTCGATAAAAGTCGAGACCAAGGTTGATCAAAAACGTAAGAAGGACGAGTGGTGAAATTATCCTTGCAATGATGGAACTCAAGGATCTGGTCGCGTGCGATTCGTGGCTACGTTCCGCTTGCTCCGCAGCCTAAATAAATAAGGCAGGTTACACGGCCATATATGTTGCAAGAATCTAATAAATAGGATAACATGAGCAGCGCAACCCACCTGCCCATCCTGCTGCAACAAACGCTGCCGCTCTCCTGAACTCGAACGAGCATCTCTCAATACGCCAAAGTACCAGACAGATCCAGCGACAACAATAAACGCCAACAGTATAGCCGACGTTATTGTGTCAAGCAAGCAAGGTGCAATCCTCCCGCTCAAGACGTACGGACCGGGGCAGAAAGATGTTTCCGCTGGGACAAAAGACGGCGAGAGAGGTGAGGTTTGCATTCCGGGCGATGGCGACGAACACCTGTTGACAAGTCTCGTATGTACAGTTTTGTTGGTCTACAGAAATTGAGACTAGGATTCCTAAATTTGATCAGGACAAGTAGATCAGTGATCCGGGTTGGGTTTGGCTTGTACCGTTGCTTTTCAATGTTCGTGGGAGACGTACCTCGGGTCTCCCTTTTCTGCGCGTCGTTATGCTTTTCAGAGTGCACGGTAGTCCCACACTTTCAAGTAGCGCAAGGCAACAAAGAATGCTACCAAGTGCAGCGCCGTCAATCAGCAGACAATGCCTGTCAACCGAACACGAAGCGATTTTCGACAGCAAACCAACAAAGAAAAAGGTTTCCCATTGAAAGCGGCTGCGAAAATAGTTGGGAGACAAGTCACGTTGCATTTGATGATTGGATCCACATTAATGTTCTAATAAAGGGACTTTTGATAATAAGAGTATCAGTGGATGGAGATAAGTAAAACACACAGCGGTGATGGCATGGTTTTTTTTTTTTTTTGTAACGGACACGCATGGCAGGCAAAAGATGGGTACAGGAAAGGATTCCAGTCGCAGGAAGTTGGGATGCTTTTACACTCAAGTAACGAATAACTTTTGGTTATGGAATGTATGCCTCTTGATGGGATTTCCATTTGCAACGGTTTTGGATACGTGAGTATCGCTATGGAAGGATATGCAGGTTGCGACAAGGAGTTTTCAGTGTAATCTGGGTGATTTCATTGTCTATCTCAAACAACTGCATTAGGGATTTTCATAGGTTGATAGAGCGCTGGAGCCAATAAGCGAAAACGCACTTGTTTCTTTCGCTGTCTATCCTCTACTAGATTCAAGAGCATGGCTATCATGCGCTTAGAGTTTCTATTACCTTTTGTCTGGCGTCCTTTGTTATCATCCTGATCATATCTCTGTTACGGCTGCCTCGTGTACCCAGTGCATTGTAATACTTTGTGATGGGTACAGTCGTCGCATTATCGCTAAGACGCGAAGAACACAGATGAAGAAGGCTCTTAGACAACTCTCTGAGAACCATCAGGTTGGATGGCTACAATACACATACACCTTGCTTTGGGTAAACCAACTGAATGGGCTCTTGCATTCATATAACTGGCGAGATCAAAGACATTTGCAGATTGTGATGGCCATAGGTTGACCTGGGAGCATCAGTCTTTCTCCAATTTGCTGCCGCCGTGCCCAAAACCACAATGCCTCTTGCTGTGACATAATGAGATGCATCCCTCACGATCGGGTACAAATCTCAGAATCAAAATACGACAAGCATGATAGGTTCACATGGAGTAAAGATGATTACTCGCTTATTACCAAGAGCCGATCCCAAGGGTTGTTCTGATCGTGGGGTTAGCAAAAGGAAATTAAAAATAATGTCCAAGCCTCCCCCTACAAAACACGCCGTTTGGCCGCTTTTCAAAACGGTCACGCCCTCGTCTTCCCAAAAGTATTTCTCACTCCGACATTCAAACACCGCATCTGTCAACCATGTCCAGCAAAACTCTCCTCCTCATTTCCGCTCTCGCCTTCTCAGCACCTCTTGCACATGCTCAAGGATCTTGGGCACGCAGGATCTACTACACCGACAACACCTGTAGCACCAATGTTGGCTATCAAACGCACGTCTACTCGCCGCACGCAGCCTGCCCTGCGGTGCAAACTCCTGTTCCTATCAACCAAGTGTGTGAGAATAAATCCACCAACGCAAAGGTGCCTTCCTCCGAGGGAACAGGCTGCGACGACGTAAAACAAAACTCACAAGTCAGTGATGCGCCGTACTTCCCTCCCGCCGGCCAAGGAAATAAGATCCCCAACGCGAACTATCTGACTGTGAACCAGTACAATCAAGCGAATGGATGTGCGCTAGGGAATGGGGAGGTAGTCATTACGCAAACCATGTACGCTGCAGATGGAAAATGTTACGTTATGGAACCTGGCATGTATTTCAAGGCAGCTTGTAACAGTGCCGCAGGTGTTGTCCAGTGGTGCAAGTAAGTTGATGGCCTTTGTTGGCACACTTGAATACCTGGCTTAACATATTTTCCTTCCCAATAGTGACGATCAATGTAGTGACTGCCCGTCTGCCAAGGCAGAGACATATCTCGCAAACTGTGGAGGGCCCATGATCCAGGGTCAGCCTGCAAAGAGTATTTGTGTCCTAGCTGCAGGAGCAGTGGACCAACCTCTCCCGTCAATCAACGGTACAACACTCCCCTCTGGCACGATTACACAGCCAGTGCCAGCATCGACTGCTACTGGAACCGCCACCTCCACGCCGTCTACAACCGCAAACGCGAAATCAGATGCCGGTCACTCTCTTAGAGGCGCCTTTGGTGCGATAATGATGGGCATTTTGGGCGCATTCACGTTTTAAAGGATAGATAGAACTCTCACGTCTAGTGAGTGCTTTTGTAGTTACTCGTTTAGATTCATACAATCTATGTTCCAATATAATAAGATGTCATATAGATATATATATATATATATATATATAACGATTAAGTACAATCTGGATCGTTTCCCCTATCGACCCCAATCATGGCGAATGGATGCATACAACATATCAAACGCCTCTTTCCCTTCCACAATTTCCTTTGGCCTATCCTTGCTTTCCTTCTCAAAGCCTGGATAATCTCCAAATGGCACCTCGGTCTCAAGCTCTTCCTTCAAAAACTGCATATGCCACTCATGGTACAATTGCAACGCACGGATCGGATCCCCTGCCCCAGATAGTTTTATTCTCTTCATCACTCCTGGGAAGAGAGGAGGAAAATCCGACAGGTCCTGATGAGCTGTGCCGCGAAGAACACCGAATCGGGATTTTGAGGAGCATTCGGTGTGAGAGAACATATTCGCTAGAGGATCAAGGTTGATCTTCCATTGAAAGTTTTCCGACTGAACGGATATGAAGGGTTTGTCGACATGGCGCGCATCGGACACTGCATGCATCCAAGGATCCAAGGCAATTCCACATTTGAAGGGATTGCTAGGATCTTGAAGAGCCGTCAGACAGGTTGCACCCTTGAATATCACGGAGCCGTTAGTTGTGGTCTAAAGCTGTACCCGAGCACTTGTCTCTTACCCCAAAGGAGTGTCCCGACATCACCCAATTGTCAAAATCAAATCGTCCTGTGAACTGTCCCTCAAATCCCGCTGTCCGCTTCGTTCCCATCAAATTCTCAATAGCCGCACCGGCGTCCAAGTCCCTCAACAGTTGCATGACCTCCTTCACTTCTCCGGCCTTAAACTCCACCTGACTTCGTCTGAAGCGTAACAGGTACTCGTCTACCGTCTCTCCTGGCTTCCGATCGTCATTATTGGGGTTTCTGTAGCGTATCTTCTCTTTATACGCGTTTCGGGATGCGACCGCCGCAGACCCATCACGGTGCTCAATCGCCGCAACAATGAAGCCCTGGGAAGCAATATTACCGCAAAAGGTAGAATATGTTGTTCGCATGCCGCCCAGGCCGTGAGAGAAGATCATACACGGAAGTCGAGTGGGCAATGGCGGGGAGGTGTCATCGCCCTTACCAGCATGCCGCAAAGGAGCATTTAGATACCCCGGTGTTTTGACGCCCGCCAACAAAGGATAAATAAAAGCCAACGCAAGTATTGTAGGGAGTTTTGAAAAGCTTCCGTAACCGACCGAGTACATCGTTCCCTTTGGCAACCACTTGGCCCGGCTATGCGCTTTTGTTGCTGCCAATGTGGTCGGATAATATAATCGGATAAGCACTCCTTTCGTATTCTTGGCAGAATTCGGCGGGGTTTCAATGTCGTGCACGCCAACTGGGTATGGACCCAAGTAGTCCGGCAAGTGAGGAAATAACCGCTTGAACCATGGACGCTGCGCAACTATAGTCTCCTTTGAAGTCAGGGACTGGCCGGACCCCGAAGTGATGGAGTTGCTGAGTGTGTTATTGAGTGTGCTTGAAGCACTGCTGGAAGTGGCATCTCCAGAAGGTTGAGACTCTTCGATGAGCTTCACTTCAGACATAGTGTGTGACGATATAACAAGAGATCTAGAAAATACAAAGGATGCTTTTTGAAAACAAAGATGCTTATGCCTATTAAAAACAGAAAATGCTCTGGCGGATGCAACACTCATGCGGATGAGATGAAAGTCAACCCCATTCCTGGGGGGCAGAAACAACGTCCAGAGCGGAGATTCCAGTGGTGGTTTGACATCACAGTCCGGTTAAATTACTACTCCGCTTATTGGTTTGTGTGGATGGAATGTGCATTGGATCTCTCATCTGGCGCCACGATTGAGTGCACACGCTTGATCGTTTTCCTGCCACCATCTGTTTTTGAACAATGTCATCCAACACCTGCAACCGGTTGTTGCAAAAGTATTCTGACCGCTATAAGGATGCAGTCAATCATGTCTTTCTAAAGCGGGTGGTATGTGGGACCTCTTGGCATGTATTGAAAACTCAGGTATTGACTTACGCCCCAAATAATATATCCTTGCTTGCATCAAAGGCAGACAGCACAGCAGACGAGGCATTTGAAAAATGGCTCATTCAGGACTTTCATTTTGTTGTCGCATACTTGAAGTTTTTGAGTATTGTCCTAAGTCGCGTCCCATCTGACGCATCACCCGAAACCGCCGAGGTACGGCGACAGCATCTCCAGTTCGTACTGCAGCGGCGACGGGCTAACGTTCACCGAACATGAAGGGACTGACTAAAGGGTTTCTCTCGGCACTCGGGGAAATTAGCAAGGAAGCCTTGTTCTTTAGAGATCAGGCGTCATCAATGAACATCAAACTCGGATACACTGACGACTCACTCGGTGAAACTTTCAGAAAATACATTGACTACCTCATCAAGGTTGCCAATGAATCATCGTTTCCGGAAGTCTTGATTACATTGTGGGCAGTTGAGAAAGTCTCTGTCAAATCGTGTTGGTTTTCGAGTGATCTAAGTTCTGGTGCATTTTAACCTGTGACCAATCCTGTAGGTATACCTTGACTCATGGTCCTATGCGGCGGAACTGGTGCCCTTGAATCGACCTAATAAGTACGATAGGTTTATAAAGCACTGGGCAAACGCTGATTTTGCAAAGTTTGTCGGGTGGCTTGAGACAATTGCCAATGATGCGACCCCCGAGATCACCCCCGAGATTGAAGACGCTTTTAGAACCGTGGTTGAGGTGGGTTGCAGTTCATCCTTGGAGAAAATGACGATTGCCTAATTTCGAGGTAATAATTATTTGCTTTTCCCTGTGCAGTTTGAGGTGCAATGTTGGGATACCGCCTTGGGCACAAAGGACATGGCTTCCAGATAGACAATTCTTCGATACCATAGGCAGATAGTTATTAGCATTAGCATCCGTGAAACCGCTCAAAGTACTGTTTCAATCAGGTTATAGCATCGTATTTTAGTTTACCTCAGCTGTCAAACGACGCGTGACTCAACTCTTGATGCACCTTGACGTTTTATAAACTGCCCATTTTCCCTACTTTCCCTTCCCTTTCGGCTTGGGCATTCACTCAATCACACACATCTGTGAATGAGCTGGTTATCTACTCTCCGTCGCTTCCCGGGTCATCTGACCGACCGGCTTATCCTCACACGCTCGCTACACTCACTAGAGATCGCCATGCCGTCAGCGACGTCAAAACAGAGTACGCTCCCCAGTGGCTGGCTCCTGTCACCTCGGAAGGTGCGACGAACATCTCCTCCTCCTAGTAGACAGCAGACGAGTTCAAAATCGACTGCAGCAGCACTGTCTACAGTGTTACCACCTTCCGCTATCAAATCTGTCAGGAAGGGAACAAAGAAAGATGCAAAGACCCCTACGCCCCACAAGAAGCACACTCCGCTGATACCGATCGACCCCTCAAAAAAGAACTATAATAAAAGGATTACGGATATACTAAGTGGTTTGTATTCTCCCCTTCAGAGTCTAGATACAATCCAATCAACAATCAGTGACATTCTTTTTCAGAACTGAGCAAAACCGAGAAGAACATCGGTAATCCATGGAAATCCCAGGCCTATTCAAAAGCCATTTTATCCATTTCTGCATATCCCAAGCCCCTAGTATCTGGAAAAGAGGCTCAGGGTCTTCCGGGGGTTGGGGAGTCCATAGCAAAGCTGGTCCAGGAAATCATTGAGACAGTCAGTATTCTTTATGGTCTTTGAATCTTGGTTATGTGGGCTAACTTTGGAGCTCAGGGGACATCAGAGAGGGTGCAAAATGAAGCCAACGACCAGCGATTGCAAACGATCAATACGCTGATGAGAGTTAGCGGGATTGGGTAAGATCGGAGTGATCCAGGTGTTTTTCGACCAGGAGTCCCTTTCCTGACAAGGGTGATCCGCCATTCACGATTAGGCCATCAGCAGCTGCAAAGTTTTATGATGAGCTCGGAGTTCGGTCCATCTCCGATCTTCTGCACCGTCCGCTCACACGTCATCAGAAGATCGGAATGAAATACTTTAACGAGTTTGAAAAGCGGATTCCCCGAGCTGAAATGGATAGATGGCAGGTAGACTCCATTCAAATCTCCAAAACGTTCTGCAAGTGACCACTCATCGACATATACTTTGCAGGCCATCATCAAAGATGTGCTCGAGGATATCGACGACCGGTTTGTGGTCACCATCGCAGGAAGTTATCGAAGAGGACAAGAGACTTGTGGCGATATTGATGTGTTGTTGACACATCCAGAGTTTACTACAAGCTCCTCATCCAACGAAGCATCCAACAGCAATCACAATGTTCTTCTGCAGCTTGTTATATCGCGATTACATGAGAAGGGATATTTGACTGATGACATCTCCCTCGGTGACGTGAAGTACATGGTGAGGCGCCCACGCTCAGCATGCGCTTTGAAAAATCATGTGCTGAATTCGTCACTTCATGCTACCTAGGGAGTATGCAAGCTCCCAGACGTCCCAAATACAGAGCCGCACATTCACCGTCGTATTGATATTCGCCTTAGCCCTATTGACATGTACTGGCCCGCAGTGTTCCACTCGACTGGCTCGGATCAGTTCAATCGATGGATAAGGGCGCTCGCCATTGAACAGGGGTATACGTTGAGTGAATATTCTCTGAGAACAAAGGATAAGAAAACAGGTACGATCAAAAGCCAGGTTTGTTTTTGATGGTATGTAGCATCTATAAACTCTTAGTCGTCCATCAGGCGCTGTCGGACCCCCGGTGCGCATCTCATCGGAGGAAGATATCTTTCGACTATTGGGTGTGGAATGGAGAGCTCCAGAGCAGAGGGACTGGTAATTAGGTTATCCCCCCAAGTATTACATTGTTGTCCATAGGTTTGCTGTCGTATAGGTTACAGGGAGCATCCACATAGCTTTGCAAATGTATTTTGGATTCATGCTAAAGATATAAAACTGTACATCACGCACACTGCGTTCGTCTAAAAAAGTGTCTACGATCATCTGTAGGGGAGCGGAGCTGTCAGGTTCGTGAAAGGCGAAAAATCGAATGGATTCCACCTACCCTTGGGCTCCAGCACTACCCCCTTTTCCCGCTTTATTTTTCCCTCGACTCCGTCCCTTGCTGTCCTCTCCCTCCGCCTTGACCTCCGTAGCAGTCTCTGACGGGTCTGGCAGGCCTTCGACCAGATCTCTCAAAAAGTCAAACTTTTCGACGTCCATGATGGTTCGCTTCCTGCAACCTCAGATTAGTAAACCAACTTTACTAAGTTCGTTAAGCATCGCCATGAAGCTTACAAATGCACTGTTGTCAATTTCTTCGCCGACCTCCCGCGCGCTTCCTTACATGCCTCGTCGATAAGTGATTGCATAAACAGTTCGAGAGCTTTTGATATGAGAATAGGTGTCGCTTGTGCAACTTTTCCCACTTCTTCATCTAGTCGCATGATTTTCTTGATGCGGGCCTGTTTTGGTCACGATTCAATAGGTGACATGCACGGACACTCCGCAATGGATAACTTACCACAGGGAATTTCGTCTTGTAGCGCTTTTGCATGTTGGCGCAGTCTGATTTCGGATTCCGTTAAAGTCAATGTGCAGAATGTCGTGGACACGTAGGATGCGGGAAGACAGCAGCAGAGAAAAGTAGGGCAATGTGTCGGCGATCTGGGAATGTTGCTGAACGAGCTGAGCTTAAAAGAGAGCATCCTGGACAGCAGTAGCTAAGCGGAATTGAGATCATGTGACCGTCATAACGGGGTGGCATCATTGGAAGATAAACAAATGACTATGAAAATAAACAAAGCAGCCGCTTGTGCCGTTCGATAAGAATTTTGTGAAGTTTGTTAGAACGACTCTCAAAGGTCTCTTTAGCGATTTTTGAATCAGACATTTTGCGGGTTTTGACGGTGGGAGAATTCTGGCATTTTGGGCTGCAAGCACTAACCGAGCAGTTTGCAGGTACGAGAAGCGATCGGCCTGAAAGGGTTTGCTTGGTCAGCCCTTAGTCACGAAATCACGTGCTATTGCCAGCCCTTTGCGCAGCACCGCGTTCAGCGTAGACGGTTGAAATTCAGTGAGATGACAGCGTCAGATTTCTGGAATACAGTAAAAGAGAGTGGTGAGTTTCTTGAGAGAAGGGCATTTGTGAAGTTTCCGCGCATACACTGTGGATTTTAAAGTGACATTTCTCTTGGTCGCTCCAGATTTAACTGTTGTCGAGCGCGTTATCCATTTGGCTTCCTCCCGACTCGGTGGTTATACACCGTCACCCAAAAACAAGCATGGGTCAAAAAGACGCTCACATTCTGACACCGGACCTGCCGAGTTGCTATGCGTATTGCGGGCCTTTGCGGCCACTCTCCCAGCAAGTGCTGAACCGCGGGCTATGGCTGAAAGAGAAAAGTTTCGACAGCTATTGCTTCATATGGATAGGGAATGGCCTGGCATGTCTTGGAAAAAGAAGCTGCAAAGTTTGAAGCAGGTCGGAGGAAGAATTGGAGAGTCGTGCAATATTTCAACAAGCTAACGGAGTGCCAATGATTATCAGAAAGTGCATCAAAATAACCCAACATCGATACGACAATCTCAACGGCGTGAACCTCAAGAGGACAGTTTCCAGCCACCAGGTCCAGGAAACTCATCGCATAGCGCACCGGGGACTTCAACACTGGACATGTCATCAATCACCTACTGCCCACATCATTCACAAACGTTTCTACATCAGTTTCATAGCAGTTCTTTGCACAATACCGCATCAACCGTACTCCCTACACATAACGGCGAAAGCACTGATGCAACACTTTGTCCCGTGAGCGCTAGCATTAATATGAGCTCCATACTCCCAGACTCGGGCGTGCGGGAGACGATTTTGGATCATTCGTTGCAAAGCATCGCGGCGAATGTACCCATAGAAACAGCTGAAGATGAAAAAGGTGCGCAAAAGTGATCTATGGAATCACTGACTCGAATTAACCGAAACTATTTTATATCGAAGCTATCAAGGCCACACGAATCATGATGGTACGCGCGTTTTACGCTTGGCATGGGTAAGCGGGGTAATCTTCTTGTCTTCTCAAAATATATGGAAAGTGTTTACCAGAGTTTTGCGACAGGTACGCTAAAGCCGTGAAATCACGCAAAACACGACTAGTCACACAATGGATGGTGGCCCTCCGGTCATGGCAAACCCATACATGCAAGCGATATTTTCGCAGGTGGCTTCAAGTGACTAGACAATGTCAGGTACGCGATACGCAATCAAACCTTTTAGTAAACTGATCCTAACTTTTTTTTTATGGGTTCCTCAGCACGCTCGAAATGTCAGATTGGCCCAAACTGCGCTACATAACCTTCAAATGAACGTTACTCGTGTGCAATCGTCGATTCAAGAATTCCAAACACGCACCTTGATTCGTCGGACGTTTTTGAGATGGTTTCACCATGCAGAGCATTCGTATGCAAAGCGGCGGAGGATTGCAGTTGCAGAGTCGGTGGTCACAAGAAGAAGGTGTCGTAGTTTGCAGACAGAGGCTTTCCGGGTAAGTCTCCTTGTGGTACTGCTATCGTGTCTGCCATGTCCTTGATTGTTGCCAGGCATGGCTTGGGGCCTATAGGTATAGGGTCATCCTGGCCTCACACGCACGGTGGCTTGAAAGCAGATATGTAAATACATTACTGCAAACAGCGTGGACGAGCTGGCGACGTGCACTCGAGGATGGTATGGGGTCCCACATGTGATGTTCCTTTCATCACCTTTTCTCATGTCATCTTTCCTTTGGATTTGTAGCACACAGGCTACAACGCTTTGATGCCAGGCATAAGCTGCGTAAACTTTCAGACTGTTTTTCAAAATGGAGAGTTGGGTGGGTACACTGAAATGCTTTAACGTCTTCTTTGACCGCGTAATGATGTCGTACTGGTCAGATGCACGACGGCACGATACAGTAAACTGGCATTCAAAGCCGTCCAACATCGACATGATTCTGGGATCATGTCACGTTTCTTTGATCACTGGCTGCAACGGTATGTATTGTGGCGCACTCTGTGGTATTTCGAAATGTATTAAAGCTGTTCCCAGGACAAGAGATCGAGCGGCGTATCGTCAACTTATTGAAACGTCTCTTTGGTGGCACCGACAATCGTCCATGAAGAGGGTTCTTAGCTGGTGGAAGCGGTATTGGTCCTTGCGCGAGATGGCGCGAGTTGTGTCGGGGCGGCGTAGGCTGGCGACGGTACGATGGGTATGGAATTCTTGGACACGACATCGGTAAGCAATTTTAATTGAACATGACCAGTGCGTTATGCAAGGCGATAACTCAAGGAAACTGTAGGAGAGATCAGTTGGAGGTGAAGGAGAATGCCTTTTCAGTGGCAGTAAAACGTCCATTTCGTAGATGGAGAACGTTGACGCGGCGAATGAAGGTTGTTTGCAGGTTGTGAATGTTTGACTTGTTGGCCCTAACTTGATACAATTAGTTTATTTCGATTAGGTCCTCAAAAAGACTTGTAGATTGTATATCGAGTTACGAGATAAGCGGAAACGGGGTCGCGTTTTCACTTTATGGAAAGACATGGCGGATAGGAACAAGGTTTTTTGATTGTCTGCGTTGCGGTTGCTTTGGGTTTTATCATGTCATGCTAACCAATGCACAAGGTTGTCCGACAGGCAACAATAATGTTTTCTGAACGGAAACGGCATCATCTTTTGCAAGACACATGGCGGAAATGGCGACGAGCAAATGAGGTTCAACAGGTATGTATCCATTCATTTTATCCCTATCCCAGAAGAGGAAGCTGACAAAGAGTGTCCGACACGCAGGCCATCGGGACCAAAATATTTGCATTAGAAACACGGCTGAAATGCTACGTGCAAGAAAAATACTTTTGTTCATGGCACTTGCATTGGGTGCTTCGTAAGCAGATTGCCAGATACCGGCGGATGTTGTTGGTCAAGGTTATTAGGATATGGGTGCAGAGGTTTCGTCATGTTCGAGATGACCTTCCAGGTAGGTGCTTCAAGAGCGTCGATGTGAATCTTTGTGATGTTCATATCCTGGTTTGTTTTCGGTTTTACCAAAAAGCATTAGCAGACGCGTTTAGAAACCAGTTAAACAAGACCGTGCACCGGCGTCTGTTTTTCACTTTTTGGCGCACCGCGGTTCAACGACGGGTACAGATAGGCATTAACG